CAAATGTTTTTTCTGCATCTATTGAGATAACCATGTAGTTCTTATGCTTGTTCTTGTTGATGTGATGAATTATGTTAATTGATTTGCGTATATTGAACCAGCTTTGCATCCCTGAAATGAATCCTGTTTGATCATGGTGTATGATTTTTTTGGATGAATTGTTGAAGTCGATTGGCCAAAATTTTGTTGAGAAGTTTTGCATCGATGTTCATCAAAGAAATGGGTCTATAGTTCTCTTTCTTTGATGAGTCCCTGCCTGGTTTTGGGATGAGGGTTATGATGGCTTCTAGAATGTGTTCGGTAGTGAACTTTCTCTTTCAATTTCATTGAAGAGTTGGAGGAGTATGGGTGTGAGCTCTGCTTTGAAGGCCTTGTAGAATTCCACTGTAAATCCATCTGGTCCTGGGCTTTTCTTAGCTGGGAGGTCTCTTATTGCTGTTTCTATTTCAATGCTTGATATAGGCCTGTTAAGATGGTTTAACTCATCTTGGTTTAGTTTCAGCATGTTGATATTTGTTAGGAAAAGGTCCATTTCTGCCAAGTTGTTGGTCATGGGGCCTGAACTCTGGACCTGGGGTCTGTCCCTCAGCTCTTCAGCTCAAGGTTAGTGCTCTATCACTTGAGCCACAGTGCCACTTCCATTTTTTTCTGCTTATGTGGTGCTAAGGAATTGAACCCAGGGCCTCATGCATGCAAGGCAAGCATTCTACCACTGAGCCACCTTCCCAGCCCCACTATGTATAGTTTTGTAGTCTGCATTTTAAGCTTTATTAGGTCCCCTAAACTCTTCTTTAAAATGTGGTCAATGACTTCATACATTCCCATTATCTGGGGTGGAGGGGGCCATAATTTATTATTGGATATTTAAGGTCTGTCATTGTTTGTTATTATAAATCATATTGTGATAAACATCTTTCTATATAACTCTTTGTGAGTATGACTTTCAATGTACCATCTGTTCCCCAGAGTTCCTTGATTGGTGACATGTATCTCCCCTAACTGACACTGGACATGTGGAACTAAAGCTGTGCAGCCAGAATTTGTCAAGAAGATAAATAGGGTAGCAGCAGCCTGTCTCACATTCATAAAACAGACTGAATACAACTTGCATTTTGCAGATCATTTGTTTGGTTAGAAGCGGGATGCCTCATTGATTCCACTCTCAGTATATTCTAAATGAATGAAGGTGACCTTACAGAAAACCAGTCATTTGGAATCCTATTAATCATGCTTGGGGATATTTCGGCACCCAACACCAACCAAAATGTTATGATCAATCAGATTCTTGTGACTCACAATTAGAATTTAGGAAGCCATGTGGATTACATGTGGTTGTGGGTACTCTTTTGGAAACAATGGAGGAGCTTAGCTTTCAAACCTTAGCCATTTGGAAATCAAAGGCTTTGTAGAAGGAGGGGAAAAAATCTAACAAACTAAAATGCAGTGATCTTTACTGATGATTCCTACAAAGAGGAAACATTCAGTTAAGCTGCAATGTTATCCCAGCAGAGCACTGGAATTTTATCATAATCTGAGAATCATGCTTTGTATCTCTTCTTCTAGAACTTCTAAAGTAAATAACATGTGCCATCGTATAGTGCTTCCAACTGAAGGCTTCACATGTTTTGTTAGTACATTGAAGAACCAACAGGATTAAAATGTGTACTTAACAAAATCTGAACTGATTTGCCATTAGTTAAGCTACAAGAATAGATGCTGAAGCCGGGCGCTGGTGGCTCACGCCTGTAATCCTAGCTACTCAGGAGGCTGAGATCTGAGGATCTCGATTCAAAGCCAGCCTGGGCAGGAAAGTCTGTGAGACTCTTATTTCCAATAAACCACCAGAAAATTGAAGTGGCGCTGTAGCTCAAGTGGTAGAGCACTAGCCTTGAGCTGAAGAGCTGAGGGACAGCGCTCAGGCCCAGAGTTCAAGCCCCATGACCAGAAAAAAAAAAAAAAAGAATAGATGCTTAGCATTCATCTCTAATCATCTCAGAGGGTAAAGATTTTACTTTTGATCTAGAATGTAGTTAATCTTCTAGGACAGAGTTGGGGATTCTAGGTCTGAATTCCAGATATTTAATATCTTCCAGTTTTGCTCTCTGCTTCATGATGATAATTTTACCACTAGCTCCTAACACCTATTGTACTAAATTGCTATATTAATATTAATACCAGAGTGTGAAAAATTCAACTCATAAAAGGTATGCAAATCAGCCTAATGCAAACTTTAATGGATTAGTGCACTTAAAAAATTCTTTGAAACAAAGGTAACTGAAATGGTAAAAAGGGCCAATTAGTCACCGTTAAAAAGGAAGACTGGTACAAGTAAAAGGATAAAATACTTTTAAGCAAATGTGACTGATTTTAGTCAAACAAAATAATGCAATTGCTGGAATAACAAGAAACACTGTTTTATTTTCAATCACTGTGTTAGGCAATCACTGTGTTAGGGTTTGCATTGTGTCCACCCAAAAGGTATGTTGCAATTTTTATACCTGTAAATGTCACTTTATTTAAAATTAAGGTCTTTGCAGATGTAATCAAGACGAGACAGGGTTATTAGAGTGGTGCTAATCTAACATGATTAGTGTCCCAAGAAGACAATGGAATTAATAGAAACATCTGGGAGCTGGGAGAGATAAGTAACAATATTGTCCTTAGGCTTCCGTAGTTCTAATGACATCTTGATTTCAGATTTCTAGTCTCCCTAAACTAGACAAAACAATAGATTTCTATTGTTCCAAGCCAACAGAAATGGTTCTAACAGTCTCAGCTTTTTGTATGTTCTGCCAAATCCATTTTCTTCTCTCTCCTTTTAATTAGGTTTGGAACAGATCACATAGATTTTTGATCAGTTTCTGTTTTTAAAAGTTGATTCAGCTTAATTCATGGATTTCATATCTGACTTTTATCTTGTCTTATTCCTTCACTTGTGGTCAGCCTTTCCTCTTCTCCGTGTTCCTTTGTGTGGATTTATGGGTTTACCTTTATTTCTATTCCTTCCCTCACCTTTAAGAAAGGCTGCATTGTTCTCCTTTCTCTCTAGGAGAGTGGTAGAGGTCACTTCTGGAGGCATCTTGCTTTCAGCATTAGGCAGGAAGTGTTCTCAGTTCCTGGAAGGGAGTAGTGTTCCAGTGTGGATCTGTACCTCCAGGATCCCATCAGGAACATCCTTTCCAGTAGTAGCTCTAAGATTGTGTAGCATCCATTCAGCTAGGGTAGCATATCCTTATTCCAGTTGTCCCTGCACCCCACAAATCATTTATGGGACTTTGACCATAGGAATATTTTCAACATCTTCATTTACTCTCAGAAGAAGAAAAGAAACAGAACCCTCATTGTCAACATTGTGTGAGCATGCCTACAGATTCCCATGGTCCCTTCCTTTCCATCCCATTTTAGAGCTGTGGGATTGGGATGAGAGTTGGGTGTTGGGTAGAGTCAATTCATTGTGAAGAAAGTCCTTGACTTAGATGTAGCTGACCTTCTTTAGGATATGGGACTATTTAATGGCTCTTTCCCCTAACTTATTTTGGGAATGCTGGAAGTAGGAAGCTTATAAGAGTGGCCTTTGTTACTCCCATAGTGAAAAGGGGGTGGGACATATCTAGGGAAAGTACAGGTTACTGAATTCTGAGGGGAGGGGATGCCCCACACAGTTTCTATTTTACCAGGAAGCATATGTTTGATTTTTAGGGTTTCCCTTCTTCATTCTTTTACTTCAAACCCCATTGGTCCTACAAGATATTGGTGATTTGCTAACATTTTATGAGAAACGAGCTGAAGGACCTGCAGTAAATATCTAAGTCCAAAGTGGATGTGGGCCATCACTCCCTCTCACAAGGTCAGAAATTTGAGAGCGTTGCAGAAGGAAGGACAGTTTCTTTCACACACCTGTTTGAAGGTTGGATAGATAAATTTTTGAGCTTAATTTCTAAATCAAGTCCAGCTGTCTGATGACACTTCTCTAAAACAAGGCATTTTCAAAATGTGTTCCACGATGGACATCAACTGTGGTACGTAGAAAGTTGTTAGAAGTAGTCTTTTCAGGCCCTACTCCCGACCTCCTGAATCATCAGCTCTCTCTTTGATCACATCCACTGCACTATTGTGATAACACTGGTACACTAATGATACTTCTGGTCCCCTCTGGCTAAGAAACAGATGTCTAATTTGTATGGATTAATAAAGATTGGACTCACTTTACAAATTATTCTTTTCTCTGACAATTTTCTATGCATCATATACTTCAATTTAAAAGCTATGTGATATACTTCAACTGATGTGAAGAGAAGAGAATCTCTCTTCTTCCCCAGAGAACAGAACTTCCAAAGTTTGTTTTGAACTATTTTAAAGAAGGAGCTTTCCAGTTGATACCAATCATGCTTTGAAATAATTCCTTGTATCAGATGAGATATGCGCTTTACTTCTATAGCAAATGATCAACATCAAACATACTACATATGTTACATGATTATTGCAGTTTTTGTATGTTTACTCCCAGAGGAATGAGCACTTGGAGAAGCAAGGACTTCTACCGGGTTTAGTCCTGACTGATTTCCTAAGACCATGACTAGTATTTGACACCATTCTTAATTATTTGTTGAATGAATACATGAAGTTTGGGTTTTCAGAATGTTCCATAGCTTTTATAGCTTTGTGTGTTTGTTGGTTTATTAAACAAATTTACAGTTTTCTTCATATTTTTAATTCTGAGCATATTTCATTAGGTCCTCAGAATTTCCATTATCTTCATGAAGCGTGAATAAGAGAATTTTCTAGACTAGTGCAAAACTCGTAACTCAGAGGTGGTTTATAGGGTCGTACAAAACTCGATAGAGGCTGTAACATAAGAAAATTGTGGGGAGAATAAAGATATGAAACTAACACAAAAGAATTTGTCAGTAAGAAAGAGTGACTTCTAATAATTTTGTTCTTTGTCTAAGAAGGTTCTGTATGGATTGTTTTTGAATAGTAAGTCTATTTGTCAGTAGTTGTCAGACCAAACACTTCCCAGAGTGTAGTATTTCTACCTTCCTGTTTGCACACATTACAGTTCCCACTTCACAGATGTTCACTGTTTTCTCGCGTGTTGAAGATCCTATTTTGACACAGTAGAGTTGGGTTCCCCCCTTGATGCACTGGGGAGGCAACAAACAGATGCATCGGGAAGTGGAGGCTGCAATGAGAAACAGAGGAAAAGAGAGTATAAATAATGGTAGTACTGAGGGGCATGGCTTTACTTAATTCCTATTGAGAATGGTGAGCTCGTGGGTGACTAGAATAGTCAGTGGTCCAAAGGACTCAACAGATTTGGATGGAGAGACTTGAAAGGAAGACTGCAATGTGCACTCTTAAGTCAGTAAGAACCCACAGCTAATCAGGCTTTCTAGCCAATCATCCAAAGCTTGAGCTCTTTAACATAATTCTACACTAACTGAAGTAACATAATTCTCTATTTGTTTGTAGAATATTACTGGATTATATCTTCATTCTGTCTTTTTAGTAAGCAGTTGAATTGGACAATTTTTCTGTATGGTCTGGTTTTTGAGCTAACTAAATACTTAAACATTCATATACATCTTATATCTTTAAAATAAATAAGGTCGAGAATATTAAAAACACTTACTTAAGAATACTCAAATTTTAGGGACAAGAGGGAGATATGGGGGAAAACAATGAGGAGTTGCATTGATCCAGATGCTTTGTGCTTGTAACCTAACATATGGAACAAACTCTTTGTGCAGCTACTTAATCATAAAATTTTAATAAAAGAGATACTGACCCAATTATATATGTGCAGATTTTAGTTAAAATTCAAGATCTTTCACAATTTGACCACTAACATCTTTTTTTTTTACTTTTTCCATTCCGAGAAGATTAACTTCTTTTGATTTTTCAAACAAGACTCAAAAAATGCTCATTTTCAAAATGTGTTCATATGTTCAGTTATTACCCATCTCACGAAGTATTCATTCATTAAACCGTTTTACCATGCACTTTGCAGTACCATATATAACATTCTCACATTTGCATGTCAGGTTTTCTTATGTCTTTTCTCTAAGAAATATATTTGATAATATATAATATATTATATATATAATATATCCATACATATGCTCTACTCAGCTCTTCACAGTTAACTGGAGCAATTTTGGGTGAAAGTGTACAAGAATAAATGTATTTGATGGATCTGGGATAATTAATGTTGCCAGAAAATTGGTATCCATCTGAGAATCAGCAATAATACCATTGTAAATAGCTTAAGCAAATGTCAGTTCTTTCCGATGTTTCAACCCCATATGTAAGACATCTGGTTCCTGGTTAGAAACATTTTAGGACAAAGTATACATTTCTTTGGCCAAGACTGGTACTCAAACTGGGTATCTGATGCTTTTGCTCATTGGCTGGCACTCTACCATGGAAGCCAGGTCTGCAATCCCCATCCATTCCCTTTCTATATTCTCTGCCAACTAGATAGAGAAGATCATAGCTGTGAAAAGTCTTGTTGATTATTGGAAGAGATGAAATTTGGAAAAAGCCAAGAGTCTTTCCTATCTCTGGTAAAGATATCCATCCTCTCAGCTTTTGGAAAGGCCATAAGCACCATTCTCTTGAATGATTATGACTTAGAGCTTGATTATTTTCAGACTTCTAGAACCAAAACTCTTCTCACTTCTACTACTTTATCCTTCAATATTAAGTTTTCTCACTTTTCTGCTTATTAAATCTAGACTGGAAGATATTTCTTTCCCCCTTACAGCTTCTATCATGCTGCCTTGCATTAAGGTGATTCATGCGATCATTGTTTAATGGAACTCCTCCAATGACTGAGAACAGTTTGTCTTCAGCCTCTCATCCTGCCTTGGGACAATCTGCCAGTGACTTCACATGTCAGATGCTTAAATCGATAAATGGATGTTTGTTCAATGAAATTCTCCTTCCTGTTGGTTGGTGGTAGATAATTTAAAATTCAGATAGAACATTTGATAAGTCATAATAAGAGACTCCCCGAGGCAACCATCCATCTTCTAACTTTCAAAAAGTAAATTTCATGTTACTTTCAAGTTTCACTTTAAACTTCTTATTGCATTTTAGACCAGGAAGGAACAAAATAGCAAAGAGCACACTGTAATAAGAAAACACAGATCAATCAAGGTGGCATTCAATTCAACTTGAAATAACTACTATCACAACTTGCCTTGAGTTGGTTTGGTGTACATATACATATGGCTTTCTTTCTTCATAAATGCATTAGTTTGTACACTGATACTGTTCTATAATGCTCCTCTAGAAAGTGTTTTCCTGTCTTTTGCTCAGATGTTAAAAGAAGGCTGACAGAGGCAAGCCACACCTTTATGGGGAAAATACTTTGAATTTTCTGATTATGAGAAGGACCAAATCAATATAAGAAATGTATATATGTCAGTTTGATTATCCTAAAACATTCTATTAATTTGAGTAATATCAGTCAAGTGTATAAACTTTTAGTATCTTTTTAGACACTTTTACTCCAAGAATCCATGGGCGCTCAAATATATGAGCAGCATAGAGGTGATAGGAAAGCAGACAATGTGACAAATTGATATATTAACAATTACTTTTCAGTAAAACAGATTAAAAAAGAATAGTTTGTAGAAAAATATCCCAAACCCTAGGACTTCTCATTAATAATTTCTCTTTTTCCACAAAGAATTTTATGGAAGAATAGAAACTAACCTAAACACATTCCTGACCTATAATAATACACTGAAAGTCCTTTTAAAAAAATAAACAAAAGGGGGCTGGGAAGGTGGCTCAGTGGTAGAGGGCTTGCCTTGCATGCATGAGGACCTGGGTTCGATTCCTCAGCACCATATAAGCAAAAAAAAAGAAAAGAAAAAGCCAGAAGTGGTGCTGTGGCTCAAGTGGTAAAGCTCTAGCCTTGAGCTGAAGAGCTGAGGGACAGTGCCCAGGCCCAGAGTTCAGGCCCCACAACTGGACCCCCCCCCCCAAAAAAAAAAAATAAACAAAAGAACCCAACCTCCACACTGTCCAAATTTCTTTTATTTTTCTGTATAGAATTTTGTATTTCTGAACTTAAATTTTATTTGGGGGGTGGGAAGGATTGCTAGTCTTGGGCTTGAATTCAGGGCCTGTGTGCTGTTCCTGAGCTTTTTTTTGCTCAAGGTTAGTGCTCTACCACTTAAGCTACAGCTCTATTACCAGATTTTTGGTAATTAATTAGAGATAAGTGTGTCATGTACTTTCCTGCCTGGGCTGGCTTCAAACCACAATCAGACCTTAGCCTCCTGAGTAGCTAGGATTATAGGCATGAACCATTGGTGCCTGGCTTGAACTTATTTTTTGCATGTGTTCTTACACTATATATCTCACAAAAAATGATTATGTGTAAATACAAAATGGAAGCTGGCTACTGGTGGTGCATGCCTGAAGTCTTAGCTATTCAAGAGGTTAAGATCTAAGCATTGTACTTTGAAGCCAGCCTGAGCAAGAAAGTCCATGAGACTCATCTCCAATCAACCAGCAAAATATTGGAAGTGGGCTGTGACTCAAGAGGAAGAGTGGTAACCTTGAGCAGAAAACTAAGGCATAGTTCCCAGGCCCTGAATTCAAGCCCCATTATGGGCATAAGATAGATAGATAGATAGATAGATAGATAGATAGATAGATAGATAGATAGATTGATATGCAAAGGATACTGTGTAACACTTGCATCTCTTTCCTAACACATATTATTACTGAGAGAGATGGCAGTTGAGTAATGATATTGGCCAAGCATCTAAAAACGGACAGTAGAGTTTTTAATCAATAAGATGTTTTCATAATGATTAGAGTATCGTACATATCTGACCATAGCTTACTATCTCTGCTGTGGAATTATCTTGTTTGGGTGTGGCATGAGGTTCAGAGCTCCTGGCATTCACCTCCTGATTTTCTGCTCATTGGGCTGATTTGTCTACCTGCTGTCATGGTTCAGTAGTGTGGCCTGCCAAAGAAGCTGAGTCTTGATAATTATTTAAGTGGATCAGGAAGGATTTGAGATTAGCAAAGGCTTTCTTCTTCTCAGGATCTGGCTGAAGAATATTGGCCAGAAACTGAAGGAGGATCAAAGGTGAACAGTAAGATTCTTGTCTTTCTTTTTGTAGACATGAGGTCATTTCAGCAGAAGTTAGATGAAAAAAAAAAATCCCACAAGTTTCCATACATACTTCATGTCTACATATAAGATTCATTTTTAGAAATGTGTTGCAAGGGAAATTTAGCTGCTTACTTGAGTTCTGTTAAATACTATCCTTTTGTTTTATATGAAGCTTACTTTGGCTATGTCAGGGTCAGACTCCATCCTAGAGCAAAGATACTTTGGTGAAGTTCATGCTTTCAAGCAACTCACCAATGCAGTGACAGCAGAAATACTCTTATGAAAAAGGAAAATTTAATGCCACTTTTAAAGTGTTAAATTGATAGCTATTTCAAATGACAACTCCAATGCTTAGTGAGAGGAAAGTGTCTCTCATATATTATAGATTAGAGGATAATACTATAAAAGCATTTCTGCAAAGCAGGTTGACACAGTATGTCAGTAAAAACTTTGACTTAAAGTAATTCCCTAGGATATACCCTAGTAAATGGAATTTCTAGGGTATATCCTAGAGAAATAATCTTACATGATAGATTTACATGATAGACTTATCCATCGAATCATCGTTTATTATAGCAACACACAAGGGAAATTCTATGGACTTAACACAAAACTACATCTCAACTAAATCATATATTGGAAATAATTTTATGTCATCTTAAATGATGCCTGTCAATTTGTAAAATATTACATAGAACATGATCCTGTTTTATTTTCTATTATATTCAGTGGTACCACTGAAACATGGGAGGCTCCAGGGATATTTTTGTGGGGGTGGTTGTCTATACAACCTGTGGGAACATCCACTCACTGGGTTACACCTGAGAATAAGAATCTGTCTCTGGGCCAGAACCATCACTGTAGGATGACCATGGAGCTTTTTGGAGCATCTGTTTGATGAGTTCACTAAGGGTAGAGATGAGAACAAGTAAAGGGTTGGAGAGGGAAGAAATAATGGCTGTGCATGTGGGACCTGGTTTATGCTCAAGCCTTCTGCTTGAATAATGCTGCTAGCCCTGGCTGGTTCTGGGCTCTGGTAGAGGACTTAAAGTAATTGAAGAAAGATGCTCTGGCAATTGGTATTCATGTGAAACCCAGCTCTGCCTGGGAAGCACTGATGGCCCCAGGAGTCACAACCACCAGGTCAGGTTATGTGTGATGGGTGTCTGACACATCAGAGCAGGACCTAAGAGCAACGTGATGGCATGTACATAAGGAAAGACTGGAAAGGTGCACACCCAGAGGATTACAGCAGTGATTTCTAGTTGTGGGTATTTATTATAGCTTTCCTTTTTTGAATTAATTACACAATTTATAATGGATAGGAATCTTCTTCTTCTTCTTCTTTTGTTTTATGGTTGGGATCCTCCTCTTGTCCTCCCAGTGTCACTGTGGCTGAAAGTCTCATGACACTGAGCCTGGACACCTGTGCCTCCTCTTTGGTTGGGGAAGCCACAACCGTGCTCAACCATTGTGTGAGCATGCATAAGGTAGGTGCCATTGGCTCAGGCCTGTAATCCTAGCTACTCAGGAAAATGAGGTCTGAGGATGATGGTTTGAAGCCTGGCTGGGCAGGAAAACTCTGTAAGACTCTAATCTCCAATTGACCACTGAAAACACTGGAAGTGGAGTTATCTCAAGTGGTAAAGCACTAACCTTGAACAAAAGAGCTCAGAGACAACACCCTGGCCCTGAGTTTAAGCTCCAGTACTGGCACACACAAAAACATGATGATGTATAAATACAAAAATTTACCATATAATCCAGCTGAACTGAATTTCAAATAAGAACATGTCTAGTCACCAGTGTCGCTTACCTGAACATTTTTCCCAGTCATAGCATGTATCGAAGCCACACAATTCTTTCTTTGTGCTGTTGAATGCAAGCTTCATCCTTTCAAGACCCCATTCTAACTGTGGACCATCTTGGCAAGAACCAATATGTAGAAAATGGAGTTGCTCATTATTTAAACATCTCTTGGCCAAAAAAGTGCAAGAAGGTGAAGTAAAATAATGGTTGGAGCCCAAATCAAATACACAGAGATCTTCTGAATAATGGCTGCCCAAGAAAGGAAAGCAAGAAATTACACATGAGAACCAGGAAATCAGATGGCACATAGTCCACTTGATGTGTCAACTCGTCACTCAGTTTTCCCATTTTATTTTTTTGGGGGGGAGGGAGTCTGGTCATGGGGCCTGAACTCTGGGCCTGGGCACTGTCCTTCAGCTCTTCAGCTCAAGGCTAGTGCTCTACCACTTGAGCTACAGTGCCACTTCCGGCTTTTTCTCTTTTTGCTTATGTTGTGCTGAGGAATTGAACCCAGGGCCTCAGGCATGCAAGGCAAGTGCTCTACCATTGAGCCACCTTCCCAGCCCCTCCCGTTTTAATTTTTTTACCCTGTTTCTCTCCTTTCAGTGCCTAGTTTCATTTCATATGCTCCCTAAGATTAGTCATTCTAAATTACAATCTTTGTTGGCAGGATTCTCAAGTGATTTCAAATTTAAACCTGAGAAACTGAATAGCCAGGATGAGATTCCCATTAACTTCCCTTTCTAGTATTATTTTCCTATCTTCCTAAATTCCTTTTTATCTTTTGACATTTATATTGATTGAAAGTTTTTTCTTCTCTTTTTTTTTTGTAGTAGTGGTGTTTGAACTTAGGCCTTTAATTGCTAGGCAAGAGCTCTACCAGTTAAGCCATGTGCCCAACTGTGAATTGATCAATTTGTTTTATTTTATTTTATTTTTTTAGGTTGTAGGGCTTGAACTCAGGGCCTGGGTACTATCCCTGAATTCCTTTTGCTCAAGGCTAGAGTTCTACCACTTTGTGCCACAGTGGCACTTCTGGTTTTCTGGTGATTAGTTGGAGGTAAGAGTCTCACAGACTTTCTGCCCAGGCTGGCTTTGAACCATTATCCTCAGGTCTCAGCCTCCTGAGTAGCTAGGATTACAAGTGTGAGTCACCAGTACCTGACTGTATTGATCCATTTCTAAGCTAATGATATTATTTTTCCCTCTTGTCATCCAAGTTCTGCTCAATAAACATTAGAGCAGTCTTCTTTGTACACCAGTGGTCAGCTCAACTCCTGGCTACAGTTTGAAGCTTCCCTGGGTCAATTTAGCCCAAGATCTTCTATATCTCCTCTAGCTCTAAAATACTTGTCCATCAACACCAATTTAGAACGTATCATATGACCTATCTCATTATATACTGTTCAGAAGTATTTGTACTGTGATTAAGAACTTTAAGTAAACCCTGAGGGCCTGACACTGGTAGCTCACATCTATAGTCCTAGCTGCCTGCAAGGTAGAGATCAGAGCATCATGGCCAGCTGAGGCACAAAGTTCCCAAGACCCTGGTTCCAACAATACTTGGAAGCAGTGGCATACCCTGCCATCCAGGGATTTAAGGGGCTGAGATTTCAAAGACTGATGATTCCAGGCCAGCTCAAGCAAAAAGTTCTCAAAAACCTCAGCTCAAAACACCAGGCCACAGGGGTCTCAATCTGTCACCCTAGTTGCGGAAGAAGCATGAATAGGAGGATTTTAGTCCAGACTGGTTCAAGCCAAAGGTGAAAACCTATTTAAAAACTAAATCACAGTAAAAAGGGCTGGATGTGTGTGGTTCAAATGGAAGAGTGCCAAACAGGTGTGAAATCCTGAGTTCAAACTCCAGTATTGCAAAAGTAACTTTTAAACAGTTCAGTGTGTCTGTGTTTATGATTGTTTTCAGAAAGCAGAGCTAATACCAAGGGAAAAAAATGCCTGCTTTCCATGTTCAGTACCTTTGAGCTATGTGACCATTACTCCCATTAATGTCAATGATATACAAAAGAAATGTGGAAGAGAATGAAGAGTTTTAGTAGAGGCAGTCTAATAGCCAAGGGAAGTTTGTGTTCTCAAGATTTTAGATAAAGACAGAAGACTCCTCTGCTAAGTGAACAATAGAAACAATGTAAGTGATCCCAAGAAAGACATCTGCAGTTGGGGAGATTCCAGCACCAAGAAGCTACTTGAGGGACCATTTGAAATGAATCCTGAGAAAGGCAGACAGAACAGAGCTTCCTTTGGGCTGAACTAGGTGGGTGGGATTATACAGAAAAAGATCTTGTCATGCTCTCAAAAAAGATATAAATTGATTCTCTACAAACATTTCTTAGTCTGTCAGAGCACAAGCCAGTCAGTGGGAAAAAATGAAATATTCACAGTTGTTGTTATTAGCTTCTTTCTGAACATCCATGCTTTCTCTCCTCAGTAAACGAACTCCAGTTTTCAGAATGGCTTTGTCTCTCGTCAGGGAACTGCATCCTCAGCCTTGCAGTGAGGGAGTAAGAGACCGCTAACAAGATGGAGCAAGTGCTGTGTCTTCTATGAAAACTGAAGAAGAAAGAATGCACCCTTCCTTCCTTCTCTCGCAGAGCAGTCTTAGAGCATGAAATAATTTTAAGGCTCAGTACTACTTTGAATTTACCTTAAATTCAGCTGAAACTCATTCTTCAATAAATGAGCAATTTTGATACTTGGGTTTGTTCAGTAACAAAAAGGCAGTTATTCCAATAAAGCTACCCATTCATGGAAGTCACAAGAGAACATGCTGTTTTTCTTCTCTAGGCTTTCTTCTCCAGTATGAAAGCATGAGCCAGGTAATGATCATCATGATGATGATGGTGTGTGTGTGTGTGTGTGTGTGTGTGTGTGTGTGTGTGTGTGTGTGTGTGTGTGTGTGTGTGAAAGAGAGAGAGAGAGAGAGAGAGAGAGAGAGAGAGAGAGAGAGAATCACAGGACTTCCTTTACCATGTTACTGGAGTTACAATTTTGCTTTATATTTAGTAACGGAAAGGAAGGTTTTGATATAGTTGAGCTTGAAAAATTTCAAGTTCTGTAAAGCAAAATGACACTGTTTAAATAAACAAAAGCCATGCAAGCTTAGGGAAGGCTGAGAGACAATTTAAAAAGCTAGCTACTCCTCAAAGACGGTGAAATTCAGCAAGGCACAAGGTTATGTGAAGATTTATATATTTCATATTTATGCTTCAAGAAGGTGAGCTTTTCCATCAAGCTAGTTACACCAGACTGGATTTTCCCAATGTGCAAACAGTATCTCATACCTGCAGTCTTCTGGAGACATACAGGTACATTCAGATCCCAGTTGTTTTTGTCCAGGCTGACAGTGGCCCTTTAATTTTTTCAGAACATCTGAAACAAATCAGAGCAGAGACAAGGAACAATACATAGCTGTATTCCCATTGACAAGCCTGGATTCAAGTGAAAAGGCAGTGGTAAAACAGAGTTAGATCATTCATTTTAGTTTCTCCAAATACGTTGCTATGAAATATTCCATCTGAAATGTCCTTGCTGTCATTTTTCAAACTAAAATTTCTGTTAATCTCAGAGAACTAAGGAAAGTGAAATTAGGGAACTTTTATTCATTTGTTTTTCAAATACTTATTGAACATATTTATGATGTTTCCTAGCATACTGCTTAGGTTCTGGGGATAGTGGATTGAGCAAACTCTGACCTATATTTGGTGAAGGCAGACAGACATTGATCAAATAAACACAGTAATACATATAGAATTGCTGCCATTATTAGTGCTATTAAAGAGAGAGCATATAATCAAGAAAATTGATGCAGCTAGAAAGGTCAGAAATGGTAAAATGGGGGAAAGGCAGATGCTGTTTGAAACAGAACATCAGGTATGAAATTGCTCAGAAGGGAGGCAGTAGATGACTTTCCTGGAACTGAGAGACACCCAGTGGGGTTGAAGTGCAGAAAAATAAAACAAATAGCAAAATTCAACCTGGAAAAAAGACACACAATAGGCTGTGCTGGAAAGCCTTTCTTCTTTCACTTTCCAAGTAGTGGAAAATGGGTCTTAAACAGAGGGTAGTGTGAGAAAATCAGTTCTGGATTTTGAAAAAGAAATGAAGGCTGAGTAGTGTGCGGAGAATAGATTTAGAGAAGAATACTGGTCTGCGGGTTATTATATCAATTCATAGGAGAAGAGAATGGTAATCTGGACCAAGGTGTTAAAGGGAAGTGTAGATAGAGGTGGAGATACTTGAGACATACAGGTTAAAAGTCAGGATATTAGATACTGAAGTAAGTTATGTAATTGTTAGGTTTTTGATTGGCACAAGAGAAGAACCACTTGTGCCTTGTCTTAGAAAATATTAGAACTTGCTTGTATTTAGGAAGAAAAGATGATGCATCGAGTTCTTCCTCATACATGTTGACAGTATACGGATGTTATTCTCAAGCCACCTAAACCAGACAGCCATAGAGGAACCTGAGGATTCGTGTTTAAAGCTTGCTGTAGAAGTCTGTACTAAAGATTTAAATTCATTAAATCTCTGAGGATTGAAGCTTTGGATATAGGTAAGATTTCCCACCCAGAGAGTGCAAGCTAGATCTGATCTAAAGAATTCCACAGTAGTTCATACCTGTAATCCCAGCTACTCAGGAGGATGAGAGTTGAAGATGGTTAGAAGCCAGCCGGAGCAGAAAAGTCCCTGAGATTTTTAATCTCCAATTAACCACTCAAAAACCATAAGTGGAGCTGTGGCTCAGTGTAGTAGAGCTCTAGCTTTGAGTAGAAAGAACTCAGGGACAGTGTCTAGGACCTGACTGACACCCCCGCTCCAAATTCCATCATTAAATATCCTAACATAGGCAAAAGGCTGCCCCAAATAGAAAGCTACAGTCAGACATTGGAGCTAAAGAAGAAGAAGGAAGCCTGGGAAAAAATGTATGCACAGAGTTCAGAGTTGCTGAGAGGTCAAAGAAAATGAAGATGGAAATTATACACATTAGAGCTAGAAGTTAGTATTAAACAGGGTTTGAGGAATAATGTATTGAAAGAGGAGTTTCTTATCAGACTAATCAACGGAGAAATACAGCTCCTAAAAGTAGCTATTTACCCTGAAAAATATCCTAATATTAGGATATTATGGGGAAAGGGGAAGGAAAAATAGCTGAAGAATAGAGGAAGAGAAGGAGAGAGAGAATAAAGGAAGGAAATGGGAAGGCATGGAGGGAAAGAACTAGCAGTGTTCCCTTTCTTCATGAACCTAAGGAAGGGGGAAAGGAGGGGAATTATAGTAATGGAGGAAAAGGAGATGGTAAGCTGTATCAAAATTCCAAAGGTAGAATTGAAGAAAGGTGGACACGTTTGAGACTTTTGAGATAATAGGAAACATTCACTAATCAAATAATCTAATAATGAATTTATAACAAAAGGTTGTGGAAGATACTATGAAGAAAGGTTTATATGCTCTCTACCATAAAAAAAAAACCAAGTGGAAAAAGTAAGGAACAATCTCTAAGGAAATAATACTTGAACTAAGATGAAGAACTAGAGAGTATGCATGTAAGGAAAAGGGTTAAAAGAAGGATATGACACTTAGGGTATGTTATATGTACAGAGAAACCTCGGGCATACCCAAAGAACCTTTAGACTGGTTATGTTGGACCAGGAACTGTCAGTTGGAACTTATTGGATGAAACAAACTTCCTCGTTCCAGATCTTACTTATCAACCATCCACAAGGCCAGAATGGCCTTTGGGAGCAAGCTAATTCTCATGGGAAGAAGTAAGCAGACATATGTAGATACTCAACAAATCACATGGCAGTATGGGAAATTCTACTCACAGTTTCTCTTTAGCCTATTAGGCACAGAAGTTAATAAGGGAACGAAGGAGGCTTATATTAGAGATCATGCTAAGGACTGAAAGTATTTGTGTTTGTCTTGATACTATTTCCATTTCCTAATTAACTTTGGTTGAAATTTGGCCTAGAACCCTCATAAACTTGTAGTTCTGGTTAGGCCATGGTTATTGAGATTTACATTGGCATGGGATTGTCTTTGCTCTCCTTCCCCCTCCCCTCTCTTCCCTTTCCCTTCACTTTCTTTTTTTCTTTCTTTCCTTCTTTTTGAAATATCATTATCCTTCTTTTCACTTTGTAAATAAATCTTCATACTGGCTAGGGAGACACCATGTTTTTTTTCCCTCCAAAGAGAATCAACCCTAAGTAGGACAGAGCAACCCTGCTATTGTTGGTTTAAAGGGGTTGTTGATCACATGGGATGTGTTTTTGGTCCTCCCTGAAGCATCAGGTTGAAAACCTGAGTGCTGGTACTGAGCAGCCCACATGGCGCAGGATGCTCAGGGGAAGCCTGGAAGTGACACTACTCATTAGTCTTTGAGGTTCTGAGGCCAAGAGAATCTTCCAGAGGTGCTTTGAGAGCATTGAGTTAGCGATAAAATAACTGCAGCATTTCGTTTCTTCTTGGGGAAAAAACTTTCCATATTGAAGGAATTAAGAGTATTTCTTTGGGAGAATGGGGGAGAATGATGAACAGGGTGACATTAATCAATGAGCATTGTACTCACAAACTGACATGTTGAATTGAAACCTCTTTGTACAACTACTTGAGGATACTTATATGTATATATATATAATTTTTAGATAAATACATGCACATATTTATCCAAAAGTAAGAATATTTCCTGGTCACGTGAGCCTACAGTCCAGTTTTATAGGATGTTGTCTTTTCTTTCTTTGATTCTCCTTATGGTCTGTTAATATTATTAGAGATAAAGTCAATGAGATATTTATTTCTGTTACCTAGATACAGAGTATATTTTATAGCTTTCAGTTTGAGTTATAACTTCAATTTCTTATCCATGGATCTGTGTGTGTGTGTGAATATATATGCCCTTATGCAGAAGACTGTACCTACAGTATCCAGAGCAAACTAATTTTCTAAATGCTGCAACTTCCAAACTTTCATAGTACTTATCACTTATTATTATAGTCTGAAGCCTGATGAATCCAAGATAAAATATTAAACTAAAGTTTCCATCAGTCCCCATGATACCTCTTTTAAAATAGTTCCACCAAAAGTAATTCAAGAGGTTAAAGTTCTCCCTTTCCTTTCCACATTATGAAAGTCCACAAGACAAGTAAGAAGCAACAAAGCCAAGAACTTAAAAAAATGAGCAGAACTGTTGCATAGTTTTGGTTTGACCTGCTTTGGGTCTGAGTTAGCTTCTGCACCTGCTTGGCCTTTTCACAAATAAAATAGGCTTAATCATATCTGCTAATAGATACTTCCTAAAAGATTCTCTGATGAAAAGTAAGACATGATCCAAGAACTGGTGACCTATGACTGTAATTCTATCACCCAGGAGGCTGAGACCTAAAGATGGCCGTTCAAAGCCAACCTGGATAGAAAAGTCAGTGAGACTCTAATCTCCAATAAACTACTCAAAAAAAAAAAAAAGCCAGAAGTGGCTCCACTTTGAGAAAAAAAAAGGCTCACACAAACGTGAGATATTATTTGAAAAAACATATTGAGAAATTGGAAGAAATGAATTATTACCTGCTGTCTCCATTACAGTGAATCACTGGCCTCATCAGTTCATGGTCCTCGAGCCCCTGACAGATGATTGTTCCTCCATGAGCTTCACAGCTCATGGACCATTCTCTATAATTGCACACTTTTTGCTCTCACCAGAACTGTTTATGCTAGAGTCAGAGGTTTTTTTTTTGATCTCCAAGTCTGTTATGACAGCTATACCAGTTTTTCTTTTCTTAATATATATTTTTTAATTGTAAAGATACTGTACAGAGGGGTTACGGTTACATGAGTAAGGTAATAAGTGTATTTCCTATCGAACATTCCAGTCTTTCTTTCCTTAAAAGATTTCTTTTGTTTTGTACAAGGCACCAAGTAAAAGGTCTGTTCTTAAGTTTCCAGCACGCCTTTCACTTCTGTGACTTTGTTTTCTCCACCCTCCAGTCTCTACAAATAAGAGAAATATGGAATATTTGTTATGTGGGTCTGTTTTATTTCACCTAATATGATCAGCTCCATTTCCATCTATTTTCCAGAATAAATCAAGTCAGTACCTAAAATAATAAAATAAAGGATGAAATATAGAAGTATTTGTATTAAAATTAAGGTAAAGATTTTAATAAATTAAGTGTCAGTGGTTTGTAAAAAAATAAGTTAGATATAGATGAGGCTACAAAAATATTAAGGAAAATATATGAAAATACAAGTGTTTCCCAGTCAATTTGTTCAAAGCTATTATTTTAAGATTTTCTTTCTCTTCGTACTTACAATTCATCTTTATGGGAATATTTGGGGTAGCTTAGAGAGTTTTTGTTTACTTTAATTAAAAATTAAATTGATATACAAATGTTTTACACATTTATGAGTGTCAGATAGTGTAGTATTTAATCCATGTATGCATTATTCAAGGCTCAAGTCTATCTCCTCAAACATTTATTATTTCTTTGCTGTGAAAAACATTCAACATGCTAAGATAGTTTTTGAACTAACACAAAACCCCAACCCTTTCCCCTAATAGTGATTTCAGTGTCTGAGGGGTGGGCCATGTGCAGATTTTTAAAGGACGTACATCACTCTATGTTAAAACTATGATTCAGACAATCTGAAACTGGGAAATAGAGACAATGAATAGATTCAGCTTCACTCAAAGAACATCATAAAATTCCTATTTTAGGTAATAACAAGACACCTAATGATGTGTTTGCTGCTTTGTATGGGTGGGCACACAGACCACATTTCAGTTAACCATCAATTCTGATCTCTTGAGATGAGAAATCTTTCACTCCTAGATAGTAAGGTTTTATACTGAAAAAGAAAGTTGAACCTCCCCTCTAGAATTTGAAGGCACCCAGTCTCATCATCTACCCTGGGTGATTCCTATTTAACTTTCTAGCCGCTTCTTCTGCCTTCTGTCTCCAAGAGAGTTTGGAGACATGGTGATGCCATACAAGCTGTGCTGCTTCTTTGGGCGATCATGAACCACACTAGAATCCTCAATCCTCAGTGCCACTCACCTTCTTCACAGGTCAGTGAGTTTGGAATGGGTGGTGTCCAGGAATCCCCCTGGCACGTGTACCTTGATGGCCCAGCCACAGTGAAGCCTTTGGGGCAGGTTAGCTCAATGGATTCACCCAGTCTGTATACTCTCTGAAACGGTGTGACGGTCAGGACATCTTGAAAAATTGGCTTGAGGCACTCTGTGCCTGGAAAGGGGGAGGAGAGAAGCAGCAAGCCAGTGTTCAGGGAAGCAGCGCACACAACAAACAGAGACAGATTTTATATGATCCAAGAGGTATGTTAATGAGATTTGGGGGGGCCTGTGTTTAGCTTTGGTACTTCTTTTGATTAGAAATCCTGAGACTCCACTGAAAAACTCCTTTTAGTTTTGGTATCTGAGGTTCCCTTGCTAAAGAACCTGCTTTGGAAACTTCTGGTGCATTTTTGGGATTTTTACCTTTGAAGGAATAATTTCCTTTCCTCTTCTTTTGTATTTTCCCAAAAGCAAATTACCACATTGTGAGTGGCTAAGAAACAGGACATTCTAATAGATATTTGCCTCAATGGGGCTCCCAGACACCCCTGAATCGAATCTTGGGGGTTTCTATTTGAGCCTTGTTTGAATCAATCTCTGTCTCTCTGTCTCTGTCTCTGTCTGTCTCTCCTGCAGTATGAGTATGTGCAGAGTCTAAAAGCTCATCACTGCTTTTCAGCAAAAGATATGAACATGCTTTGAAAAACAAGTTCCCTGAGGAAAACTGCATCTCACAGAAAATCCTACTTCTGGTCTACAAAGAGAGTCAGTATCATCTTGGAACTTATCAAATTGCACCAATTTGTATGTTAGACAAGTCAGATGTCTGTGGCTAGGTACCGGCTTCCTGGATTTCTTTGTAAGAGCATGCTTCACGGTACTGTGTGGAAGAGGAAAATGTGCTGGGGCAGGAGGCCTGTAATGTAGAGGATTTTTGGAATCTAATTTTAGAAAATCAGCTTCATTAACTGATTTGTGAAATCCTTTTACTGTAGTTACTAGGAAGAAATAGTAAACTGTACTGATCTGAGAGAGTGATTATTTTTTCTGTTTATAGTGGACACATGCTCACGTTGGCACTCCACATCTCCTCTTCTCCAGGTCCTGTCTGGTAAGCATGTGAAGTACTGGTACCCAGCAGCTTTGAATCCAGTAAGGCACGCAATTTCTATTTCTTCTCCAATGGAGTATAGTTTCTTTTCATTCTAGAATTAAGACAGACCCCAGAAAATTACTGTGATGAATAATCACTTCTAAGCATCTCAAGATCACCCCAGATTGTGTATTCTATCACCCCTACACCTACAGTTTTCTCAAATTCTGCTCCCAAGGACCTCCCAAGGTTGTTCTCTCCTTTCTTCGGCACCAGCCTTTGTATTTCTTATCAGCTTTCCATATTTATGCTCGGAATGGCTTGAATTCGTGTGTGTGTGTGTGTGTGTGTGTGTGTGTACTGGTTCTGGGGTTTGAACTCAGGGCCTGGATGCTGTCCCTGTCCCTCCCTCTGTGCACCCCTCCACCCCCCCCACAACCCCCACCCAAGGCTATTGTGCTATACCTGAGCCACTTCTGACTTTTTGGTAGTTTTATTAGCAATAAGAATCTCACAGACTTTCCTGCCTGGTCTGGCTTCAAACTGTGATTCTCAGATCCCAGCCTTCTGAGAAGCTAGGATTACAGACATGAGCCATGGGCACCAAGCTTGCTTGAATTCTTTTTACTTAAAAACTTGCTCTTTGTTATATATGGGATGCCTTACTAGTGCTAGAGTAGACAAACCATGCCATTTCTGTTGTGTGACTATAAACTGAATAACATCCTACCTATACGGTAAATACATTCCATTGCTATTATGATTATTCAACTATAAATCATGTTAAAATGTTGCTCAAAAATGTTTCTAATAAACTTGATTATTATGCATTTCCCCAGTTAGTGGATAATGGGGTACAATAACATTTATAGGGGAGTTAGTAAAAATTTTCAAGATTAAATTTTCCATCTCTTAGTTTGAAATGTTAGCTTTATCTTCTTTTACCTTCCTTTTATCCTTTGTTCTAGTGAAACAAGCTACATAGCATTCTCTGAACCTAATATTTTTCTTTTTTGGGGGGGGAGAGTCTGGTCGTGGGGCCTGAACTCTGGGCCTGGGCGCTGTCCCTCAGCTCTTCAGCTCAAGGCTAGCGCTCTACCACTTGAGCCACAGCGCCAGTTCCGGCTTTTTTCTTTTTGCTTATGTGGTGCTGAGGAATCGAACCCAGGGCCTCAGGCATGCAAGGCAAACGCTCTACCACTGAGCCACCTTCCCAGCCCTGAACCTAATATTTTTCATGTCTCGATTTCTTCACTTGATGGTGTCATCTATCCTCCACACCTTCTCTCTACCTTTCTCTTAAGACCCAGCTCAAACATAACACTTCTGTGAAAACCAAATGGCTTCTCCAGCTTCAGGACTAGTAGTTCTTTCAGCTCTAGGGGTAACTTGTACAACTTTCCCTTTGTCCAGTGTTTACCACATTCCTTAGTCCCTGACATCGAAGTGCAATGCCACTACCAGATCACTCTTTCACAAATGTTTACAAGGGCCTGAATAGCTCTTTGAAACTATGCCCATGCCACAAGCTATCCTTTTTAAGGGAGACTAGTAATACAATAAAAGGAAATTGATTGATGAGAAGTATTACTTGGATGTGTATAGTTTTTAATATATACCTAATGTCTTGAATATTTATTTTAGCTCTCTTATGAAGCTACAAGTGGGTGTTGGAATCAGCAAGTTGAAACCAACCAATCTGCTAGACTAAATAACAAGGGATCTCTAAAGTCATTGCCACTTGCCTATGAGACAGGAATTGTGTCCTTATCATTGGCAGGTAACTTTGTGTGTAGTAATATGAATGCTCAGCTGAGAGTTAGGTATGAACAAATTTTAATACTGAAAATTCCAGAAGGTCCACATTAGAAAAATTTAAGATAAGTAATACCTTTTGGCAGATAGAAATCTGGCTTTTAATTAAAAAATAAAACAAGCAGTGAATTTACTTATGGAGATAAAGACATATTGTGATGGTTTAAGTGTCTTCTCAAAAATTGGTGTTGAAATTGAATTGGCCTTGTGATTGTACTAAAAGGCGATTATGCCGAGGTTCTGTCTTCATGAATAGATTAATGCCATTATTCAAGTTATGAGCTACATTTTTCCTCTTTCTTCTTATACTATTTTTAATGTTTTTTTAATTGTAAAAAATTGTGTACAGAGGGGTTACAGTTACATGAGTAAGGTAATGAGTACATTTCCTATTGAGCCTTGTTACCTCCTCCTTTGTTTACCCCCTACTATCCCTTCCCTCCCCACCTCCACAACTCCTCCCCGTCCCCAGTTGTAAAGTTTGTTTTCCACATAGTGTCTTGTACATCTCATTGTTACAATGGGTCAACCTGTATCTTATTTTGGCATTTTGTTATTTCTCTTCCCCTCCCCAAATTAGAAAAATTACTTATACTAATTTTTTTAAGATAGAAATTAGCAAATCTTTTCTAAAAAACAACAACAACAAAACCGCTGGATAGTAAACTACAGGGTCATAAGGTGTCTGTTACAATTATTCTCTTCTGTGATTATTGTGTGAAAAATAGTCCCTAAAGACAATCTGTAAACAAATGAATATGAATATGTTTCAATAAATCCTTACTTTTTTTTTAAAGTATAGAAAACTGGATTTGGCCTTCAGGGCATTGTTTATGACTCCTTCTCCCTGTTGTAGAAAAAAATTTACTCCCTATTGGGTAATGACGGAGCTGGTGTCATCAGTACTATTTAGAAACTTGTCAGGTATGGGTGTTTGGGGGCGTTCAGAAACTGGGAGTAGAAACCAGTACTCTGTGTTTTCATAAGCCTTTGAGAATCCCTCCTCTGTAATAAAGATTAAATGAAATTACCTCCTTCTAAAATATTTCCTCCCCGAAAGCCTTTATTTATGGTACTTTTAATGTGGGCAGATGATAGATGAGTAGGAAAAGCACATTGGCTTCGACTAGGGCTCATGAACTGCTATATGCTAGTTTTGGAGAATGGAGTGTTATTGATCGTTCAACATAAATATTAGTTAGATTAATTTTAAGATCTTAGCAAGTTTAAGAAATACAAAATGGGTAAGAATGGGCAAGGAGCATGCCTGTGTGACCAGTTTGTAACATTATGCACCTCTCTGGAGACTCATATTTAAAGCCACAGGGCAGTTTGGCATTAAATACTCAATTTTGATTTTAAAAAAACCCATGGAAATATATTGTAGTTTAGTGAAAAAAAGAAGAAATTGAAAGGCTAGCACAAACATGTTGATGGTTTCAGTGTTTTGCAGATTTCTAACCTAATAGCGATTCAATACCTCCTATGATCATGTCCATGTCTGGTTTCTGACTTTGAGAACATGCCTCAGAGAAGGGCATTAGTTTACAGAGACTCAGAAATAAACAGACATATCTTAGATACAGATTCTTATAAGTTGACTCATTCTTTATTATTCTGAAATGATGTTCTCTAGTATACAAATATACCATTCCTGTAAGCTTGTTTGGTAGCCAGACCACAAGCTGCCTTTGGTTTAACAACCAAGCATGAAGACATGTCCAGAGAATTCAAAACAAAAACCTGGTTAAGTATTTGCAGATATTACTTTGTTTTTTTTTGGGGGGGTCCAGTAGTGAGGCCTGAACTCTGGGCCTGGGCGCTGTCCCTCAGCTCTTCAGCTCAAGGCTAGCGCTCTACCACTTGAGCCACAGCGCCACTTCCAGCTTTTTTCTTTTTGCTTCTGTGGTGCTGAGGAATCGAACCCAGGGCCTCAGGCATGCAAGGCAAGCTCTCTACCACTGAGCCACCTTCCCAGCCCTACTTTGTATTTTTTAAGCCAATAAAAAGTTATCCAAATTGAAAAATAATATAGCTAATGAAAAGAAACACCACACTTTCCACATTCTTTTTCACTAATCCAAATCGAAGCTTTTTTTTTTTTTTTTCTTTTTGAAATTCAAATCATACATGAAGATTGGGATGCTTACCCAGATAAACGCATTTTCTGGAAGCATTGGCTTAGGACATCCTGAATCTGCTTCTATTTCAGGAAGATCTACCTCTTTCATTTCTTCTTCATCACTGATGCATGGCTGCCCACTAAAAAGGAAAGATAAATATATGCATTCGCATTTACATTCATACATATGTACATTTGTATGTATATACATAAGATGAGGCATCATTTAAATAAGGGTAGAAACAAATGCAATGCTTCACTAATATGCTGTGTTGGCATATGCAAATTTATGATTATTTCTTTAGCAACGGGATTATTTGTTTTATGAAGCAGTAAGGTGATAAATATACAAACTCTCTAAGCTAGTGGGAGTAATGTCCCATTTTCCCCTCACACCCAGCCTTACATATTTTCCATGATTGAAAACGTGCAGTCCTCCTCTTGTCTCTCCTCCCCCTCACAGCGTCTCCCTCCTTGTTGGGGGGCAGGGTTATTGCACTCTCTGGTTCTTGATCTTTTATAAGCAGCATTGCATGCACTCCAGGAAGACCAGCAGCCCCAGTTCCCATCTACTGCACCTGGAACAGAGCCACCCACAGTCATGATACATCTGAGGAAACTGGGCCTTGGGCCCGGGCAATATGGCTTCCTTGCATTTCTGCTGTGTGACCTGCTTTGTGAAATACTAGATGGTTATATGAAGAGTCAAAACATTTATTTGTAGAGGAAGTCTGATACATATCTGATTTCCTTTTTCTGTTTCCCTGGGCTGAATAAAATAGCCACATGTACCAATTTTCACCATCACTAAATATATATGTGTATGTGTGTGTGTGTGTGTGTGTGTGTGTCTATTCTGATCTCTTTATCTCTATATATTTATCTCTCTCTATATTTGTATATATGAGTATATAGATATATATATAGGTGTATATAGGTATATATACACATATCTTTTATATAGACTATATATTAATTATATTTTGAAAAACAGTAGAACACAGACCTCTCTCCCATATTCCATCTTCTTCTAAGGAGAATTGGAGGCAATTATAAACATCACTTGGCTTCATATGATAACTTTAGGAGTGAGTTGATTTTCCCTACCAAGCCATTCTCCCACATTATAATGCATATACATTTCATAACAACACATTGTATGTTGATTTGATAATATATTTTATTTAAGGTTACAGGCATTGTGCTGGGTATTCTTTATTTGCCTGTCATAAAAACATATGAACAACTATACACATTTAAAATCCTTGGGTCAATACGAGTATCATGCCCACTTTATGGATGAACATACTATACCATGGAAAGGTTAGATATTTTTGCCAAAGTCCTGTAACTGGTAAGTTGCAAGGGAAACTAACACCAAGGTTGTTGGACTTCAGAGTCTACCATTTTTTTTTTATTGTTTTATTTTTTGGGTGCAGAGCCTGGTGTTTGCTGGGCAAACACTCTACCAATTTCGAGTCCTATTCCTGGCCCTAGAGCATACAGCTTTCAAGCTTTATTTATTTATTTTGTGAGTTTGCACAAGAAATAGGTTGCCTTAAGCTTTGTTTTATTTAAATGGACAAACCCAGGCAGGAAAAGGTGTATGCCTCACAACCCACCGTGGATACTCACTGGACTTGAAGTCTGGAGAGCGCTCCTCGCAGTTCTCACCGTAGGTACCACTCTGGCACACACACACACACTCGGTCCCAGAGAGCATGGGACGGCCATTGTTAGGGCATGGAGCACACTGGCAAGGGTCAAACTTGGCTGCGTATTCTTGGAAAGCTTTCCTCAGGTTATTCCGCTTGGTCACTGCACAGGGGATGTTTCTTACCAGGTCCATGATGGGGGCAAGCTAAGGGCAGATGACAGAGAGGAAACTCAGTCACATCCCCTTTGGCAATATTGTACCATCACTGCCTAGATCATAGAATGAAAGAGATGCCTTGGACAGTTCCATGCTTCCAAGGGATTATCGTAGACTCTTCTTTAGCAGCCTGTTGAGCCAGTGGAGAAAAATTTTGTACCCACAGGCATGCAATGTGCATGGAACTTGTTTTCTCTTTGGTTCTGCTTTGAAAGAATTTTTTATGTCTGGTATTGTTTTCTTGGACTTGATCATGTTATTTGTCAAATATCACTTGCATATATATCAAAATACTGAGATAGTTGGCTAAGAGTTATTAAAGCTCATTAATGTCTTGCTAAAACCATATTAAGTTTAGTCAGGCAAGAAAATTTAGAGGATGAAGACAGGCCATCATTATTCTCTCTCCAACCCTCCCAGGATAATATTGGCTTTTGTAGAGCCAGTTAAGAAAATGTGGGGTGGGAAAAAATGGAGATGTGGGTCTGCCAGTTGGATGAATTGAATTATCATAACAAATAATGGAGTTATAACTAATAAAAGAGTTTTTAATTTTATTAGCTTTATAAACCTCAAAGAAATGACCAGCTTCTGTAGCATATGATTGAAAAATGCCTAGGTTGGCATCCAGGTCTCATTTTCCTACCATGACCCATAGAACTCATTATCTTTTCATGTTGCATGTAAATGATTCTGATTGAACACCTTTATCTTCATTTAATTGAAACACAATAGTTTCCTTAGAGCACTTTAAAATGTCATTATGTTACTACATGTAAACACAACTCTAAACTGTATGTAACTCATATGTGGGCAAAGTATTTGTTAATAAAAAGTATTTTGAATGTAATCACACTAAATTCAAAACTGGCCAATTGAGTCAATGGTGACGGAACAGGAAAGCAAATGGATCTAAATCCTGCATACGCAACAGAATAATAAATGACGATATGGGAATATTCATCATCTAAAGAATTATAAGGAAAACACAGAAAGTAAATGTATCTATGGAATAAGGCATAGGACTCCCAGCAAGCTTGAACCATTTTACTCATTAAATTCCCTCTCCAGGTATTCATGCATGCTAGGAATTCTACATATTGCATTAGAATGCTTGTTTGGATAGCAAATGCAATAGATATTCAATTTAAGATCTTTTAAAAAAGGTATGCTGGGCATGCATACTAAAGAAAGGCATTTCTTTTATCAGTTGAGAAGAAAATGGAAAAGGAATCATATGAAATGCAATTTGGGCTGCTAGAGAAGGAATGCTTCAACTCTCTTGCCCTTGGTATTTTGTAAACTTACCTCAAAGTCAACCACAGCGGGATTTTCCTTCACTGATTCCAACCACTCAGAAAAGACTTTCTCCTCGGGACCAGAGTTCCCTTTCTCCCATGCTAAAGCAGCTGCATACTCGCTCCGGCCTCCTTGAACCAGTGATATGGCTTTCTCTGCTGCCTGCAAAATTGAACCTGAAAAATGTTTCAAGAAAATTACCTACTTAGTTCAACTGAAAATTCATACTTTAAAGAAAAGCCTACTTGCAGAGGAGAGGGAGAAAGAGAGGCAGATGATTTAATAATGCAGCCCCCCCCCCCCCCACCAGCAAGCTATGAAAAAATTCCTCATTCCTGTCTGTAGTTTAGTAATAGAAATGCTGGTAATGGTGCCAGCACGGCCATTTTCTAAGCCTGTGGCATCTGCTGGCTACATCACACCCATTATCTTACATAATTCTTTTTTTTAAAAAATCTTACATAATTCTTACAACAACCTTGAGACATAGGTGTGAATTTTAAATGTAGATACTGAGGCTGAAAGCAATTTGTCCTAGAACATATGGTTATACAGAGGCAAATACTACTTTGACTTTTGCTATTTGCCAGTCTCCCAGCTTTTCACTTACATAAGCCAAAATCTTGGGCCCATGGGGTGAAACAAGCTATATAGTTTCTGATATTGAATTAATCAGCCACCATACTAGAAACTTTTGGTTGCAGATAAGAAGAGAAGAGAGAATGCATTACATATGAGGATTAAAAACTTAAACTTCCAGTTAAGAGTTGGCAAAGTGTTTCTTTTGAGGTAGTGATATTTGATGCTGAGGTAGCTTACAAAATTTTTATACAAATTTCAAAATAAAAACTCCTATTAACTATTGGCAACTTTAATTACTATGAGTAGTAACTGAATAATAGGAAATTGTAGTGAGAAATTAAAGAGAAAAAGTGTCAGGATGATGTTTGTTAATAGCATTATTTTAGTGCTTATTTTGGAATGACAGGAAAAGTTAGACATGATTCTATTATTCAGAAATTCAAAAGATAATGCTGAATAATTAGAAAAGGGGGTGAAATACTGTCCAGGAAGAAAGCAAAAGAAAAGAGAGGGAAACAAGAAGAAAGCTTTAGACATTAGAGAAGTTAGAATCTGCCAGTGTGTCGTAAACTGATTGATTCTCAGCACTGTCAGGTAGCTTATATTTATCAGATACCATATGGTTCATACACAGATTGATATCAGTAGGGTTAGGTATGATAGGCATGGTTGGGATCCTGATAAAAATAGTGAGCATGAGCTCTAATTTCATTTGAAACTGAGTCCTGAGATAGAGCTAGACTGGCCACAAATGTGCTGCCTGTTTCTCTTAAGTCTTGGTATTGTAGGCATGCTCCATCATGCCTGGTATACCTAACATACCTTTACATTTCTTTTTCTGGTCTTTGGCTTGAATTCAAGGCCTCTCAATTGTTAAGCAAGCACTCTACTATCCAGATCCTCAGCACCTTTTGCTTTAGTTACTTACCGAATAGGGTCTTGCATTTTTCCTCAGGCTAACCTTCTATTTATACCTCCTGAGAAGCTGGAATCACAGGCATGTACCATAACACACAGCTTATTGATTAAGATGGTGTCTTTGTTTTTGTCCAGGTTGACCACAAACCTTGATCTTCCTTATTTCTGCCTCCTGAGTATCTGGGATTACAGGTGTAAGCTCTGTGTCTGTTCCTAAGTATTTTTTTACATTATTTTCTCCACATATTTGTGTATATATCTATTGGGTATTCACAGAGTACAATTATCAAGCTATAAAAATACATGTATACCTACATATTTATATATAGATAAGATGTTCATATATGTCTATGTTTATTATAAATATTCTATTTTAGTAGACATGTCAGTTTCCATTTTCCCCCAAGTTGGTGTCTTACAATCAGTTTGTCTCCACATCCTGCCAGCATACATCTACTAAAAATGTTCCATGTTTTTGAGATGAGAACTCTAGCTTAAATGTTATTTACTCAGTGCCCCTTTATGATGATCACCTTTTTATTGGTTCATTGTATATCTCAAAACATTTTTTGGTCAAGTGTTGATTCAATATTATTTTTAAATTTCAGCTAGCCTTTTCCTATGTTATATATTTTAATTGTATATCATAATTTCTGATATGAACTTGTGTTTAATATAGGACAGACTTTGTTTATACTATACTACTTATGTAATACATTGACATAGGTTATTTTTCATACTATATAGGTGAAATAAATAGTATTGTTTTCATTTAAGAGCCCAAAGCAAAGAAAGATTAAGCTCTTGATGTTGGTCACATAAGTCATCAACACATTTTAAGCCAGGCAGTCAGCTTTGTAAGCTTAATATATACTCGACCTGTTTCATACATCATAAGCATAATACTATCCATTAAGGACATTTTATTCCTCTACTTAGCTTTTTATTTATTTATTTATTTATTTATACTGTTTTCCAAAGTCTCTAGCAGAGTGTTCTGTCAACACCAAATCTACAGATTTCAAAATATTGTTCCTTTAGCAGTGTATTGGTAAGTAATTTATGTGGGGAAATTGCATATCATACCAGTTTGTTGTTAGAAAGCATCAAAGTTCCCTTTCACTTTTACACAGAGTTCTTGAATCTAAAGATGTAATTCACTCACACTTAGCACCTATTTAAACCATGCAGATTGGAAATGGGGTAGTGAGAATCCTTTAATAGGATTAAGTCCAAATATTTTAGCAAGGCATACAAGTTCTGTTTAATATAGACCAAACAAGTCTTCACAGCTTTACGTCACAAATTTATGCCTAAGCCAATTGCTAATACTCATTTGTTCACTGACATTGCCAATCTTTGTCTTCCTGTGCATAAACAAGGATTGTAATTGTACTAGATTCAGGAGGTCACTGTGAGAATGAAAACCTCACACACATGTGGCACATAGTGTCTAGAATGTATTCAAGACTTAATAAAACTTAAATTATTCATTTTTCCTTTCAACCATTCAATGTGTTTATTGGAGAACATCAATTAAACATTAATAATGTGCTTGGAATTATACTAAATGCATAAAACATAAAGACTATGTAAACATCTTGTATTTGCTTATGTATATCTTAGTGGAAGAGGTGGAGCTGGTGTGGTAAGCAGCATGATATTGTAAACACAGGCTGCAGTGACAGCAGATGAGAGGTCATTGATCCTTAACTGTAAATAATGATGGAAGTGGTGACAGGGTAAAGCTTCTGGATTTTCTACTAAAAACGTTGGTTGCTTTGCAGTACAGCATGTCTAGTATATTACATATTTAAACAATTCAGGAAGAGACAATCCAGTTCCCTTTATTCAGTATTAGTTTTTTTAATATTAAATGATTTCATTCTCATCTCTTCTCACTGTGTCTTTATTACTGATTTCTATACTTATTGGATTAGTATCAGAATATTAACATTTCTAGGTTGTTTTTTTTTAAGATTCTTAACCTCGCTGAGCACCACAGCTCACATCTGTAATCCTAGTTACTCAGGAGGCTGAGATCTGAGAATTGAGGTTCAAAGCCAGCCTGGGTAGGAAAGTTCATGAGACTCTTATCTCCAATTAACTACCAGAAACCAGTAGTGGCACTGTGGCTCAAGTGGTAGGGTGCTCGCCTTGAGCTGAAGAGCTGAGGGACAGCACCCAGGTCCAGAGTTCAAGCTCCATGACTGACCTGCCCCCCCCCCCCAAAGATTCTTAACCCCTACCATTCCTCTTGTAATTCAAGTTTCATAATGGGCTTTTCATCTGCACAGTCATGAGTTAGAGAACACTGATAGAAAGGAATCACATTTTGCCTTCTGTACTCTTGAGTACAATTTTGTAAATCCAGCCAGAAATCATAGATTGAAAGCCATAGTTTTCAGTGTCAAGGGCAAGGCTCTTTAGAGAGAGCAAAGAAATTCTTGGGGTTTTAAAACTGAAAAGAATTCTTAAATTTAAATTTCAATAGTTGAACTTTTTTGGACTCAGAACATAGAATATATAATATCAACCACAGAATAATAAAAATGTATAATGTCATGAGAAATACTTTTCTTTGGAAAAGGAGAAAAGACTTCTGAGCAGTGGAGAGAATGGAGACTATTGGGAAGTAGTATGAAGGCTTAGACATAGTGAAATCTTGAGTCAGACATAGGTCTCTCTCTATCATTTGAGAAGAATCTTAGGAGTGGAAGTGGTACTGTGGCTCAAGTGATAGAGTGCTCACCTTGAGCTGAAGAGCTGAGGTCCAGAGTTCAAACCCCATGACCCACCAAAAAAATAATTTTTGTACTGTGTGATTTTTTTGTTTCTTTGGTATGTTCTTCCCCTACGGTATAACCCCTGTTTTCATTGTATTTGATTCTGGTGCCCTGCATCCTGTATATACATTTTTCTGATTTGGGGAGGGGAAGGTAAATAACAAAATGCTGAAAGAAGGATACAGGTTGACCCATTGTAACAATGAGATGTACGAGACACTAGTTGAAAATGAACTTTGCAACTTTGGCCGGGGAGGGGGGGATTGCAAGAGGAGTTGGGGAGGTGGGGAGAGAAGGGATATTAGGGGAAAAACAAAGGAGGAGGTAACAATGTTCAATAGGAAATATACTCATTACCTTACTCATGTAACTATAACCCATCTGTACAATAAAAAACGTGTATATATATATATATATATATACATACATACATACATATATATATATATATATCAAGAATGTTAGGAGTGATGGTAGGGAAAGTGAAAACTGATAGAAGCACATATACATGTATATACACAGCTCTCCTAGTAGTAGAATGTGAATGCTAAGACTTGTCATATCAAACATGGCGGCCAAGCAAGTGGTCCCTTGGGTGATTCTAGTGGCCTCCATTCTTTGCTGTGATGTGTACAGAAAAGCCTCAGGAATTTCCTAACCTTGAAGAGGGCAAGGGAGCTTTCAGGGAAGGTCACTGACATGAAAGGACCTGATGTGGGTTGGCATGAAGAAGACTCAAGATCTAGTAATCTAAGCCAAGGCAGGTCCATTAGCATGAATAGTAGTTGCTGGTGCTTAGGAACAAGAAGCAAAGTAGGGAAATGACATTGCTGAGAGCAGCAAAGGCAAAGGGAAACATTCTGCACGAGTGCCTTTGAACCTCCCTCCAACATTGTATACATGTTCACACATGCACAGACTCACATACAAGTGCACACGCTCATTTAGATCATCCAAGAGGCCGGAAAGGATACTGAAAATTGAAACTCATGAGAACTTGGTTACTTTACATTGGCAATGTATAGTTTAGTCACAAAGAAATGAGGATTTGAGAGATTTGTTGAGTTTCAGTTAGGAAAAATAAAATCTTAGCTATCAATATGCAAATGATTTTCAATTATCACTTTCTTTTTCCCCCCAGTAAATGCTCAAGAATGTGCATTCTTAGAAATCTTTCATAACAAAGTCTTCCGTTACATTTCCATATGAAGACTTTTTTGTTGAGTTTTAATTTTTTCTTTTCTTTTTATTATCTTTAAGTAGTGCTATAAAGGAGCTGCCACTTAACAAGTCAGTTTATGGATATGTATCTTGGTCAATGTCACCCCTTTCCTCATTCTCATCCTAGATATTTGTTGTTTCCTTAAGGAACTTTTACCTCCTTCAGAGATATTGCTCTGTTTCCTTTCTTTTTGTTTTAACTGATAGGATAGTTTACTTATAACTTGTGAGGACAGTACACAGTTTCTATATAACCCATTTCATTACAGTAAAGATTGTTATGGAAATGTCTGAGACCTTCCAGAATTTGTACTTGGCTTGTTGTTTTCTACCAAGATACTTAGGGAATTCACTTTAAAATCTTTGGATTTGGCAAACTTGACAGAATTTACAATAAAGTTGTATACTTATAAAGAATATAAAATCAAGAAAATTTTCTGAATTTATTTTAGGGATGTGTTGTCATATTGAATTTTTGAAAATATAGTTTTCTCTCATTTATTGGACGTTAAAATTCCTATGCATTAAATTGTATTTGTCACTCTATTTTCATTAGATGTTTTTAATATATGAATTTTTCTCTGTGCTTAATATAATTTGTTCAGTTCTTTCTAATGTGGGATTAACTTTATTAATTTTCAGAAGATTGTATTTTGTCTTACAATGTCTGATTTGTTTTTAATTATAATGCTGATGCTTATTAATGTTTGTTTTATCTTTACCCTCAAAAATCTCTTTTCCTTTATTGATTACACTTAAACTTTTTATCTCTGAACTGTTGATTTATTGAGTTCATGCTCTAAAATAGTCTACTGAGTAACAAATCAATGTAGAATCTATCCTATTCTATGATTTATTTTACTAAATTATTTGTTTTGTATGCTCATGTGCTCCTTTTTGCCTTCTTTTTCTTCTTTTGCTATAAGAATGTAGTTCTCCATCAACTCTTTTTCTTATATTTGACACAGATACCTGTATATACCTGTGTATATGCTCTGATACTGTTTTACATTGTTTATTATTAAAGTAAATAGTACATTATTATTTGCTCCTCACCTTCCTTCTTCAGGAGAATGTAATCTTAAAAATCGGAAAGTTTCTGCATTCCTACTTCCCATGGTGGGGTCTGAATCAGCAGCAGTCAGACAAAATAAGGGAATAAGAGAATTTTACAAAAAGTAGGTATTCACAGTAGTGAGAGAGAAGACTTGTTTAGGAGACTGGAAAATGGGTAGCTAGGAAGAGAAAAGAGACAAATGCTTATCCTTTCAAACTTCCAGGAACTGTGGCATGTTTAAAGGACAAGGGTTTTATGTATAGGATATGTTACATAGACAATTTGTATCACAGAGATAGAAATGCAGATTAAGTTGGAAGAAGGTGAAACTATAAACAAGGAAGCCAGTGAGGAAGCTTCTCAGATAGTTGAGGCTGGAAATAATGAGAGGAGGTTGTGCCTGTGGCCAGGAAAAGGAAACTACTTGGAGAGGTATTCAGGAGGTGAAGAGGTTTGTTATCACTTACTAGATATGGAAGCTAGAAAGAAGATAAAATCAGTGACAAGATCCAAGGTACTGACTTGGTTGACTTAGTTGAGGGCAATGCTAATGAACAAGATTGGGGCAGGAGAAGGACAGCAAAGGGAACCACCAGTGGCTGGTCACCATGCCAGTCTCTCTGTAGAAACCACATCATTTAGCCAGGCACTCCTGGCTCACACCTGTTATCCTAGCTACTCAAGAGGCTGAAATCTGAGGATCGTGGTTCAAAGCCAGCCTAGGCAGGAAAGCCCATGAGACTCTTCTCTCCAATAAACCACCAGAAAACCGGAAGTGGTGCTGTGGCTCAAGTAGTACGGCACTTGCCTTGAGCTGAAGAGCTGAGGGCCCAGAGTTCAAGCCCCATGACCCCTCCACACACAAAAAGAAACCACATCGTTTAATTTTAATACCAATCCTATTAGGCTGCGAAGAAAAAGGCTACCATTTGTGCTGGGAGGGGGTACAAGAGGTGTTGAGGCTCACAGGGAGTTCTCTGCCCAAAAGCAGATGCATTTTGTTCTTAGGGTTGCTGTCTGCACATTGCATTTCCATAGGTGCTTTGAAAGAAATATTTCTCCCAGATCCTTATCAGAATGTGTCAGTAATAGTTGTTTGTTCATATCCTTGCTTTGTAAGTATCTTAATGAGAATATCTAGTTTATACTCATATTTACTTCATGAGTTCTGTTATTCAATTCTACCCAGGAGATAAATCGATACATCATTTATTAAACTGAACAGCCTAAGCAAAAGATAAAGAAAAATCTTAGCCATTCCTACGTTTAAGGAATTGCTAACGACATTTTACTGGCATCTTCTCCTTAGAACACACAAGGTTATTTAGAAGATAACTAAAATAATGAACAGCTAAAAAATACCACAATTGTGTGCACTATGGCACTTAAATTACTGGCGGCTACAAGACACATGGGGCAGGCTGCTGAGATGAGACAATTACCTTCGTGTTTTTCTGATAGACGGTTGGTGGTGCACCGGTGTTCTACTTTTTTCTTCTTACCAAAAATCCTACGTTTTTTTGTTTCAATCCGGACACAGTTTCGGGTTTCTTCCTCTGTTAAACCTAGGATGTGAAAGACAAACAAAGCCTATTAACATTTCAAAGAAGATGCACAGGAGGCTCTGATCACTTTTGGGAGCTGGATACCATCCATCAATGTCTGCCCTCTTCAGCCTTCATGGGCAGCATTACTTCCAGATTCAACCCTTTAGAGCCCTTGAGATGATCTGCAACTGTGTGTGAGTCCCCTCCATCTCCTCATTCAACGCTGGTCCAAAGAAGTACCTAGGAGGCCACTGTGACCCGCCCAGGAAGCTCTTCTCTTCCTGTGGCTGCTCCTGGTGGCTACTTGATGAAATGGATCTCTTAAGTTTTACCATGCTCTGTTCTGTTCCCCACTGCAAGGCCTTCTTTCTGGGCCACAGTTGGGTCTACTTCAACCGAAATGTGGGTCTTGGTCATCTTTGCACACCTCCACACTCGTTCTCACATTTCTCTGTGGTTCTTCTACTTGACTTCCCTGCACACTCAGCTCCTAATGCCAACCCTTTTCTTTTCATCTCAGAAACTTGGACTTGCAGACCAGTGAAATCCTCAACAACCTGCCTGGTTAGTCAATCTCACTAGCTGAATTCAAGCATGTATTTGATGCTCTTTCCTTATTGTTTCCATTTCCAGGCAGGCGATAGTGCCTCAGTCTCCCTTTTGTGAGGGATGGGCGCTAGGTTTAACATCCTCTCAGCTGCCCAGTGCTGCTTCCATTGGTCGACTCTCCACGGCGTCATACATCATGTCAAAGCCCTCCTGCTCTGAGACTCAGGTCATCTGATCTGAATACCTGACTGATCACTCAGGAGTTTCTTTACCAAATTCCCAGGCATCATTTGTTGAAGCTTTTGATATCTGAGTCACTCCCACCATAATGCCTGTAGTCATTCTCAGTGACCTCAAAATCTGTGTCTGAGTAGAACACAGTACAGGGGACTGAATCTAGGATATTTGTAGGTACTATACTCTGAAGCGAATCAATGTTTTCTTTTTTATAAATAGCTCTGTAAGCCAGCTGACTCATGGCTAGAAACATCAAAATTGGAGTCCAGGTCTTTTGATACTTGAAAGCTGCAAGCACACAAGTGATATAGACGTTAATCTCAGCTCTTAAAGCGAAGTCCCTTGAGAAATACTGATTCTTAGATTTTTTTAGGTTACAATGGGCCGGGCAGAGTGTTTCAGAGCTTGAGGCACTGATGGATATGGTACTGTAGTGGAATTGAAGGTTCAGATTGCTGAGAGATGAGGCTGGTAGAAGGAAATTATGTTTGTCTTCTATTTTTCTTTCCTTGACAGTTTGACATATTTGATAACATGTATTATTAGTTTATTAGGTGGGAGTAAAAAAAAATCACTGGTTTGAAGCCCTCGTGTTTACCTTGTGTCTTTGATTTTAACAAAAGAGGGCTATTTCAATCTAGTTGAACACATATGGTTCATTTTGTTATCAGTGGATCAATCAGATGTTTAGGTATACTAACGATTCAATACATCTATCTCACATGATTCCTTTTCTGTGCATTTTATTATGTCTAAGGGAAAATTCAATTTTTTTATGAACAGTTACCAACTATAATACAATAAATTATTCAAGTTAACCATATCCTCGGAGGCCTATATGGGAATCATTAAGGAAAGTTGAAACTCTTATGGTATTGGGCACTGTGATGAAAATATCAGGGATTTTCTGGGTGCTGGTAGATCACCTCTGTAATCTTAGCTACTCAAGAGGCCGAGATATGAAGGAATAAGGATTAAAGCCAGACCAGGCTTCCAAAATAAGCAGCAAAAAGCTGAGATGGAGGCATGGATTAAGTGATTGATTGCCAACCTAGCAACTGTGAGTCTATGAATTCAAACTTCAGTCGTATAAAAAAAGAAAAGAAAAGTGAGGGCTTCATTGTTGAATTTTCTGTATTCCACTGTATGTTCTTCCCCTTGCTGCGTGGACTCTGCCTATATTAGCTGAGAAGATACTTAATGCTGTGGTACCTGATCTCTCTGATCTGCGTGTTCCCTTGCTGTGGTTCAGGGATCAGCATGTTGGTGGCATCCTTAGCTTTTCTGATTGAGCAAGTGAATAGTGTTACTCAGAATGCCATACTGAGAAATAGTGGGGCAACTATTTCTGTACTTCAGATGAAGAGCAGATGTCTAACTAAAGGAGTTTAAAATTGAACAATTAAGCAGTCATTTTAAAATAATTAAGTCTTCAATATTTTATTTCAGTTGGCTATTATTGTCACTGTTACTCTGAGAGTCTTTTCACCTTCCACACTGAAGTAATCTCAGTTTTCAGTCACAGCCTTAATGTGACTGTGGGACATTGAACAACAGAGGGATAAATCAAGGAAGGCAAACAACAAAGTTAATTTTATTCTTTTCGAGGGAGAAAAAGTATTCTGAAGTATTCAAATCATTTTTTTCTCCAAAATTGATGACAAGAGTTGAATTCTTATTTCTTAAGGTATATAAAAAGCGAAATCTATGATCTAAGTTTATGTGAAAAAGGAGATGAAATCGAAAGATGGAAAATGTATGTTTGTCTAGAGAGTATGCAAGAATAGGCAAGTTCACATATTGGAGAATTCCATCTTGTTATTTATAGATGCATATGTAGATATATATACAGAGTCATATGCACATATACACAAATGTATTAACTGATGTCTGGTATATTCAGGGGAGAACGCAAATGGTGGAATTTGAACAACGAACTTACAGGATAATACTAGGAAGCTGAGGTTTGAGGTGTGTGTATAAGGAGAGGACAGAAGAAGAGAGAGAACGGGGGGGGGGAGGGGAGAATTCAGTCATAATATTCAATGCATATCCTATGAAACTGGGAAAACTGAGGAGGGATGGGCAGAATGATGAAAGGCGTGATACTGAGCAAGATGTATTGTACTGGTGAATTGACACGTTGCATGGTGACTCGGTTGTACAACTATTTAAAGAGAATACAAATACAATTAGAAAAAAAATCATTTGTTTCTGTATGATGTGCTGGGTTTTAACCACAATTAAAAGTATACAGCGTGGCTGGGAAGGTGGCTCAGTGGTAGAGCGCTTGCCTTGCATGCCTGAGGCCCTGGGTTCAATCCCTCAGCACAACATAAGCAGAAAAAGCTGGAAGTGGCACTGTGGCTCAAGTGGTAGAGCGCTAGCCTTGAGCTGAAGAGCTGAGGGACAGTGCCCAGGCCCAGAGTTCAGGCCCCATGACGACAAAAAAGAAAGTATACAGCCATATTATTATTGTGATTCAATGATATATATATATGTATTTATACATACATATATTTAGGCGTATATTTACTGGCCATTTTGATATTCTGAATATATGAATATTAATAACAAAGTCATTGAATATAGCAAATATATATCTTTGTACATGTAGATGCTATGTAAAATCTGTGAGCATGTTAAAGTATATATATATATATATATATGGATATATGGATATATATGGGTGTTTATTTCCAATTTCATGTATATCCAGTGAATGTATACATAGATATATATGAGACTGAAACTCTCTTGACCCTATATATATATATAGCATATGTATATAGCATATATATATATATAGTTATATATATATATATATATATATATATATATATATATATATGCTATTTATTTTCAGTTTCCTATCTAGGAAGAGATGAGTAGCTGGATGAATAAGTTTTCACCTCAAGTTCAGCACAGAAGATGATTTTCTAACAAAAAGAATTTAAAGAGAGAAGGTGAGAATGTAATAGTGGGATAGTGGGCAGGTATAGTCTGTCACTCTTCATTTGGGTAGTGGGGCTTCAACTATTGAAATATTGGTTGTTTTAAGAAGCACTCCTTTTCAATCTGATCTCTAACCATTTAGAGGATTTGTTCTGAATGCATGATGAGTATGCTCACTAGATAGGAAACTATTGTCTGGACTGTAGCAGAAGTAAGCAAAATAATTTCATCTGAAGGATGGGATGAAACTCAATCAATGGCCAGGGGTTTCCCTTCCACAACTATTTCTGCTTAGCATTAGTGTTGATGCTATTTGCACTGGCAGAAGACATCAATTCATCATTATGCATTGCTCCAATGAGAAGGAAAAATAAAATGAAACATGAGATAGTGTGGACAACCTGTCACAGCATAAACCTTTTAGATTTTAGAAAACAGACTAGGTAAAAAAATAAATCTTTTTGCTTACTATATTTTTGAAAGTATATTTCACAAGGATTCCGTAAAATTCAGAAGTGTTCAGAGTAGCCCCATTAAAACAATATCATTTGCCACAAGAAATATAAGAACAGAGAGACTGAAACTCTCTTGACCCCAGGGATGGCCTGTAATTGTACCTTAGATGTCTAGTTTCTTTTGTAAAATGGTTTAATGGTGAACAGAGTAATTCATTTAGTTTCATTCTTTAGATACATATGTCAGTGTGGTCCCAGTTACTATATGATTTCCTAATTTTTTTCTCAAGGAATAAATGACAGATAATCAAAAGGACCTAAGTCATTATACACAGGAGTCTTAAAAATAGATTTATAACTTAGTGGAAGAGTGCTTGCCTAGCATGCATCAAGCCCTGGGTTTGATTCCTCAGTACCACAGGAACAGAAAAAACTGGAAGTGGCTCAAGTAGTAGAGTGCTAGCCTTGAGCACAGAGAGGCTCAGGGACAGAGCCCAGGCCCTGAGTTCAAGCCCCAGGACCAGAAAAAAGAAAAAAAAAAGCAGACTTAGAGAAAGATGTCTAAATTATGATAATATTGGCAATTTCAAAAAGCAAGAAGACAAGATATCTAGTTTATCTTGCTATGTACAAACAGAAAAACTTCTGTTCTACTCCTCAAAAATCCAACAGTAGAATCTTTTCCCACATAACAGTGCTTTGCAGTTATTTTTTTTGAGTTTCACCAGTAATGCATACTTAGCTCCCATGGACATAGGCTCTTGTTAAGTCTCTACCTGTACTTCCATCTTATGTCTTTGGCTTTCACTCAAAAATCATAAAAGAAAATGACTGCAACTGATCTAATTAGTTGGAGATAAGAGTCTCACGTACTTTCCTGCCTGGCTGGCTTTGAACCGGACCTCAGATCTCAGCCTCCTGAGTAGCTAGGATTACAGGTGTGAGCCACCAGTGCCTGGCTGTATTTTAGAATTTAGTTCCAAGAGGACCTTTATTTTCCTTCAGGTATTACTGAGTACTTTCTTTTTTTAGGTGACCCTCCTGGATAGTTTGGATGTTAGGAAATTTAGACCCAAATACTATGCATAACCACAGAAGTTATCTGTAATGTTTCTTGTTCATTCTAAAGTTTTATTGTTACTTCATTTATTTGAGAGTTTGATTGCTCTCCATCTTATTTTGGCAAGAAAAAAAGATGTTAATAAACTAACGAAAATAATGGAATAGGAGAAATAAAGACTTGTATAGTATAATTCCATTTGAAAAAAAAATGAAAGTGGAAGAAAACATACCTGAGTTCTTTAGCTCCTCACTGCTAAACTGGTAGAGAAGGTCGTACACACCTCCCAGGGAGCCAGAGGTGAAGTAGTGAGTTCCAAAGTCATCAAAGATTCTGCTATACATTGCAAAGTTGTACTCTAAAGGCAGCTGGTTAAGTGCTTTCAAAAAGACATTAGAAAGCTGCAGATTGGTAGCTTGCATTGTGAAGTTTAAGACTTTTATCACTTTATGGACTCTAATAAAGCTTGAATCCTAAATGAAAGAGGCAGAGAGAGAGAGAGAGGGAGAGGAAGAGAAAAATAAAGGCAATGAAATCTTTAAATGCCACCAATTTATCATTCACTTCATACCTACCACAGGATAAAAATAAATTTTAATCTTTATTGCATGTCCTCACATAGAAAAATCATAATTTTCCTTTTTGTCTCCAAGGACCCTTTTTCCCTAAGCTGTTAAAAATGTTGAACAATGAGATTATGAGATCAATAATGTAAACTGTGTGGCTCATTATGACCTCTACCAAAGAAGAGTTCAATCATCAGAAAAGTCAATCTTTCTCTCTTAATTTCCAATGGTAGCTTCAGCCCACTAAGTTTTTGTGAATACCTCGATAATGCAAATAATTGAGAGGAAGGGTTGGGTAAATACTCAACTGGAAATTTGGCAACTGAGATTCAAGTTGTAGCTTTGTCACTAACTAAAAAAGGCATTTAAGTTCTCTTAGGTTTTAGTGGTGCTATGATATGTGAGCCATATGCACTGGAAGACATTTTTCATTCCTTCAGGGTGTGCCCACAACCTACCGTTCCAAGTTATTCAGGCTTGAAACTAAACAAAACTATTTATAATCTCTCTTTTCCATGCATGCACAGAAATTTGAGATTGTTTTTGTTTCTTTGCAAATTCATTTGTTTCAACAAATCCCTTATTATATGCAGTTAACTTAGGATTCCCGGGGTGATGCAGTGCTTAAAATATTTTCACTACTTTAGATTCTTCAGCATAGCTTTTAGGATTATTAAGGACACCTCTATACTTTGTATTTTTCATTTTTTTTTCTGATTTCTCTTACCTTTACTCATTGTAATGTTTGAATAAGAGTAACAAAGTGAGAGGAATGAGACTATGTGAGCAAAAAGAATTTTATTGTAATTATTACCATACAACAACCATTTTCTGATATGTAATGACACCTAACGACTACCAATGTAAAAATGATAATGACTACACAAATAACAATGAAAAACACACATCAGGACTACCAGGGGTTATGATTCACATTGTTTTCCTCTCCTACCCTTCTTTCTTGCTATCTGTTCATTTATTGCTCAGATATCTCAGATGCTCTGGCTATAGAAACAAATTAAAAAAACGTTGTGTCTTTGTGAAGTTGACATTGTAGTAAGTGCCCAATTGACTCGATTTTTAACTTTAACATTTGAATTTTGTCATAGAAACACAGCTTTCAAAGTTGGAGGGTCTTTCTACTTTTATTGAGAAGCACATGTTCTCCCTGAGTATCTGAAATTCCTGTTCTGAGATGTTCAGTAATCTCAGTTTTCTGTAAATATGAAACTGTAGGAAACATAAGTTAAACTTTGGTAGCTCAGCTTGGCACAGGAATGATAGTACTGCTAGAACTGCTGTTTTAGACTTGCTTCAGGTTCCTGCACAATTTATAATCAATTCCATCCATTTGTAATCTTGCTGTATTTTATATAATTTTTGTGGTTTTAATTTTGAAAGTCAGTCAGAAAAGTACTGTTTCATGCAGGGGTGACGTCTTTTCTTTGAACAAACTATCTGCCAGATAAATATCTAGTAAGATCTGGGGTTGAAGAAATAAATAAAACATTAAGCTCAACAGAAGGGCTCAGATTAATTTTCAAGTGTATGGTACATTGTTTTCATTGTCTCAAAGACTGAAGAGAGATTGCTGGAATATTTTCTGTCCTGAATACAATTTCCTTACTCTACTCATATCTAATCAAGGACAGTCATGATACTGGGTTTAACTGTATAATAATTTTGTAAGGTCAAAAATGGTCATAAGAAATCTATATTGAGAATATAAAAGTTAGAATAAAATACCAACTAACACATGCAATGTAAAAATGCAAACAATTCCTCCTAGGGCTTGTTGGTGTTTCATGAAAGCTGGATGCTGGCATCCCATCATTAGGAAGGAAATGGCTTCTCAAGGAAGAACAGCGATGGATGTGTGGAGTTGGTAACTGAAACATATTTGGGATGCTAGAGATGTTATTTTGTGGGCTAAACAAATACTGCTTCAATTATGTTTTTAGCTAGAGAGAAGCAAGTACACTAGTACTTCCAAAAGAAGAACACTAGAGACAGAAGGGAGTAAGAATGCATATAGTATGTTCAATCACATTGAAGAGAAATGAAAGACTGAAAGAATATAGTCAAGTGTTTTAACTGATTATATTAAATTTAAGTTGGCCAAATTTCTTGAGCAAAAGTCTGAGACTGTTGTATTATACAAAAAGGTTCTATTACAAACCAGGTGCTGGGGGCTCATGCTTGTAATGCTAGCTACTCAGAAGGCTGATATTGAGGATTGTGGCTTGAAACTAGCCAGGGCAGAAGAGTCTCTGGGAAATTCTTATCTCCAATTAAGTGAAAGTAGTCCTGTAACTCAAGTGGTAGAGTGCAGACAGTGCCTAGGCCCTGAGTTCAAACCTCACAGCCAACAACAACAATAAAAGTTCTGTTACATGTACTTCACAAAACACTTTATGAATATATGGAAATATCACAAGGACAATGTCTTTGTGATGTTTTGGATTAACATCTATTATGGAAATGTCACAGGTGACATTTTGAAAGACAAAATAAGCTTCATTTTACTACTCCACAGGTGACATTTTGAAAGACAAAATAAGCTTCATTTTACTACTCTGCCCTCAAGAGGCTGAGATCTGAGGATTGCAGATTGAAAACATCCCAGGCAGGAAAGTCTGTGAGATTCTTATCTCCACTAAACTACTAAAAAAGCCAGAAGTGTAGCTAAGGCTCAGTAGCAGAGTGCTAGCCTTGAGCAAAAGAAGCTCAGGGAGGTTCCTCAAAACACTCCACATAGAGCTCCCCTATGACCCAGCAATCCCACTTTTGGCATTTACCCAAATGTTTACAAACAAGACCATACTAAAGCTATTAGCACAACTATGTTTATTGCAGCATTATTTACCATAGCTAAGATATGGAACCAACCCAGATGCTCCTCAGTAGATGAAAGGAACAAGAAAATGTGGTATATATACACAATGGAATTCTATGCCTCCATCAGAAAGAATGACATTGCCCCATTTGTTAGGAAATGGAAAGACTTGGACAAAATTATATTAAGTGAAGTAAGCCAGGCCCAAAAAAACATAGGTCCCATGGTTTCCCTTATTTGCAATATCTAGTATATGTCTGAGTCTAGCAGAAAAGGTTAGATAAGGTGATGTTAGGGAAATGAACCCTAAGATATGTATTCAAATGTTTTTTTTTTTCTTTCATGTGATTGTTTCTAACACATTTATAAGATTATTTCTTTGTTGCTTTGTATGTCCCTCCCCCATAGTATAACCCCTGCTTTCACTGTATTTGATGTTGGTATAATTTGTGGAGGGGAAGGGGAAAATCAAATCGTTTAAATAGGGATACAGGTGGACCCATTGCAACAATGAGATGTACAAGTCATTATGTCGAAAACGAACTTTACAACTTTCGTGGGGGGGGTAGGATTGGGTGGGGGACAGGGGGAGGATGGGAAGGGATGGGAAGGGGAAACAAAGGAGGAGGCTACAATACTTGATAAGAAATGTACTCATTATCTTGCCCATGTAATTGTAACTCCTCTGTACAGTATTTTCACACACACAAAAAAGACACACACACACACACACACACACACACACTACACACACACAAAGAAGCTCAGGGCCAGAGCATAAGCCTAAAAAATCAATGGCTTTCCTGTATGCCAATAATGAGAAGAGTGCAGCTGAAATCAGGAAAGCAACTCCTTTTGTAATAGCCTCACAAAAAATAAAATACCTAGGAGTTAAGTAAAGAACTGAAGGACCTCTATGAGGAAAACTTTTAAAACCTGTAAAAGGAAATTAAAGCAGAACTAAGGAAGTAGAAACCCCCCCCATGCTCCTGGATTGGGGGGATTAATATCATGAAAATGGCAATACTTCCCAAGGCTATCTAAAAATTCAACGCGATACCTTTCAACATTCCAACCTCATTCTTCAAGGAAATAGAAGAAGCAATCCCAAAATTCATATGGAACAATAAAAGACCCCAAATAAGGCTTGGGAAGGTAGCTCAGTGGTAGAGTGCTTGCCTCTCATGGATGAGGCCCTGGGTTCAATTCCTCAGCATCACATAAAACAGAAAAAGCTGGAAGTGGCATTGTGCCTCAAGTTGTAGAACACTAGTCTTGAGCAAAAGCAACTTAAGGACAGCTCCCAGGCCCAGAGTTCATGCCCCAGGACCAGAAAAAAAAAAGTCCCCTAATAGCAAAATCAATCCTTTGCAGGAAGAACAGTGCTGGAGGAATATCAATAACAAAACTTCAAACTCGACTACAAAGCCATAGTAATTAAAACAGCTTAGTACTGGCACAAGAACAGACCTCAGGACCAATGGAATAGAACTGAAAACCCAGAAATGAGCCCACAGACCTATAGTCACCTAAGACAAGGGAGCTGAAAATATAGCATGGAAGAAAGACAGCCTCTTCAGTAAATGGTGCTGGCAAAATTGGTTTAATACCTGTAGAAAATTAAAGCTAGATCTTTATATATCACCCTGCATCAGAATCAACTCCAAATGGATCAAAGACCTTGAAGTCAAAGCAGACACCCTGAAAACATTACAGGAAGGAATAGGAGAAACTCTAGGGCTCCTTGACACAGGCTGAAATTTTCTTAATAGAGACCCAGAAACACAATAAATCAAAGAAAGGTTGGACAAATGGGATTGCATGAAACTGTAGAGCTTCTGCATGGCAAAGGACATAGCTAGCAAGATCAATAGAAAGCCCACGGATTGGGAGAAGATCCTCACTAGCCATACAACAGACAAGGATCTCATATCTAAAATATACTTAGAATTTAAAAAACTAATTCTCCCACAACAAATCTTCAAAGAAACAACTGTCCAATAAATAAGTGGGCTAAAACGTAAAGAGAGACTTCTCTGAAGAGGAAATTAGAATGGCCAATAGACACATGAAGAAATGCTTAATTTCTCTAGCCATAAAAGAAATGCAAATCAAAACAACATTGAGATTCTACCTCACCCCAGTTAGAATGGCTATAATCAAGAAATCTAATAAAAACAGATGCTGGAAGGGATGTGGCCAAAAGGAACCCTACTGCATTGTTGGTGGGAATGTAAACTTGTTCAACCATTTTGGAAAGCAGTATGGAGGTTCCTCAAAAGACTCCACATAGAGCTCCCCTATGACCCAGCAATCCCATGTTCGACCACTTACCGAAAAAAATCACATTCAAGGCCATACTAAGCTACCAGCACAACTATGTTTATTGCAGCATTATTCACCATAGCTAAGATATGGAACCAACCCAGATACCCCTCAGCAGATGAACGGATTAAGAAAATGTGGCACACACACACACACACAAATGGAATTCTATGTCTCTATCAGAAAGAATGACACTGCCCCAATATTTAACAAATGGAAAGACTTGGAAAAAATTATATTTAAGTGAAGTAAGCCAGGCCCAAAGAAACATAGGTCCTATGGTTTCCCTTATTTGCAATAAATAGTATATGTCTAGGACAAGCAGAAAAGGTCAAAAAGCTATGTTCATATGACCATATAAGATGATGCTAAATGAAATGAACCCCAAGATAGGGACACAAGAGATTTTATCTTTGTCGCTGTTGTTTTTAATGTATTTTGTATTTTTTGTTCTTCCATATGGTATAACCCTTGTTTTCACTGTATTCGATTCTGGTGCCCTGCATCTTGTATATACATTTTTCTAATTTGGAGAAGGGAAGGGAAACAACAAAATGCTCAAACAAGGATACAGGTTGACCCATTGTAACAATGAGATGTACAAGACACTATGTTGAAAATGAACTTTACAACTTGGGGGTGGGGTGGGGTAGAGGAGGGAGGAGTTGTGGAGGTTGGGAGGGAAGGGATGGTAGAGGAAAAACAAAGGAAGGGGTAACAATGCTCAACAGGAAATGTACTCATTACCTTACTCATGTAACTGTAATCCCTCTGTGCAGTATCTTTACAATAAAAAAATATAAAAAAAGAATAAACAGCTTGTGGATCATTTTTATTACCTTTTTGTGGGAAGCTTGAATAGCTTTTTTGAAGGCCCAGTTTTGGTTGATGCTCTTACTTTTCTTTTTGGAAAACAAAAATGGCACCCCAGAAGAACCTTTCTGTGAAGCTGACAAAATTTTGTTTTGATTTTCATTCTTTCCAAAATTAATTAAATCCTTGTAGAAATCTGTTTCCAAATCATCTTCTTCAGTTTTTACCTGCAAATTATCATATTGAATAACATGTAGGAAATACCAAAGTTAGTTGTGAATATTGAGTATAATGTTCATTTATTTGCTTATGAGCCCAGTAACTTTTTAGTTAATACATATATTTCTGGAGAACAGGATAATTTTATTTTATTTTATTTCTTTTCTTTTTTTCTGTTGGTTATAGGGCTTGAACTCTGGCCTGGGCTCTGTCCCTCAGCTCTTCAGCTCAAGGCGAGTGCTCTACCACTTGAGCCACAGCAGCACTTCTGGTTTTCTGGTGGTTTATTGGAGATAAGAGCCTCATGGAATTTTCCTGCCTGGGCTGGCTTTGAACCATGATCCTCAGATCTCAGCCTCCTGAGTAGCTAGGATTACAGGTGTGAGCCACCAGCGCCAGCTCTTTTCTTTTTTATTTATTTATTTTTGTTGGTTGTGGGGCCTGAACTCTGGGCTTGGACGCTGTCCCTCAGCTCTTCAGCTCAAGGTGAGGGCTCTACCACCTGAGCCACAACACCACTTCTGACTTTTTCTGTTTATGTGGTGCTGAGGAAATGAACCCAGGGCCTCATGCATGCAAGGCAAGCACTTTACCACTGACCAACCTTCCCAGCCCCGGATAATTTTATTTGTTACAATCAGGGACTTAATAATTTATTTAAAGGCAATATTAACCATCAGTTTTTAATCCAGTATAGTAAGTGCTGTGCTCTTACTGGGATTCCACAGATAATATAGGACCAGAAAGGCAATTTCAAGAGATCTTTCTTTTTAAAAAGTAATCTATAAAAGAGAAAGAAAGAAAAAACTCAGACCTAAGCCAGGCCCTGGTAGTAACACCTGTAATCCTAGCTTGGGAAGCTAAGAGCTGGAGGATCATGGTTTTAAGCCAGCCTAGTTAAAAACAGTTTTAAGACCCATCACAAAAAATATCCAGCAAAAATGTATGGCTGGGAATGTGGTTCAAGTGGTAGAGTGCCTAGTAAGAATAAGGTCTTACTGTCAAAAACAGTATTATCTAACTGAAACTTAAAGGGATGTTGATCATTTAAGGCTATTAAATGGCTATCATTGTAAAGGTGATGTACAGAGGGGTTACAGTTAGGTAAGTCAGGCAATGAGTACATTTCTTTTTGAACACTGTCATCTCTTCTGTCATTTTCTTCCAGTTTTTCCCTGTTAATCTCCTTTCCCCACTGTAGAGTTGATTTTCAACATAGTGTCTAGTGAGTATCACTGTTATATTTATTCACCTTTTGGGGCTATTTTTTAGACTGTGATTTTATACAGTATGTAGTTTGATTTAAGGAACTTTTCAGCAAACTAATACCTAGAAAAAAGAGTTCTATCTGCTCCTGCTTACTTCTGTCTCCATCCCTTTTGTCTTACTGAGACTTTATAATATACTATGCTGCTGGCCATGTCTCTGAGGTAAAGGACAAACTATTGGTTCTGCCTGGTGGGTGATTGTCTTTATTGACTTGATTTGGGAAAACGAAGCTGTGGAATTCCTATGAGCTAAAAGTATAAGTGAAGCTATTCCAAGAAGAAGCTAATACTTCTGTCAAGGTGATAGTGGCAAGAAGAAAACAATAGATGACTTTTTAAAAAAAGACAGAATTGATAAGTACTTCTTTACCTTGTCTGAATTACAATGGAATTTTTTTTTCTTTTAAATGCTAAAATGCGCTGAGAAACAGTCATGTCACCATTAGATAATTCGCAAAATTAGCCTAGGAAAGAATGCAAAATAATCTAGTTGCAAAAGTCTGTTGCTCAATAATAAAATATAATCAAAACTTAGTGTTATTGTGAGATCTTACAAAAGTGTATTCTTGTCGGCATTTAAAATGTCCATTAAAAATAGCTGAAAATGGTGGTGCATGCCTTTAAGTCTAGCTACTCAAGAAGTGGAGATAGGGGCTGGGAAGGTGGATCAGTGGTAGAGTGCTTGTCTGGCATGCTTGAGGCCCTTGGTTTGATTCCTCAGTACCACATAAGCAAGAAAAGCTGAAAGTGGCACTGTAGGCCAAATGGTAGAGTGCTAGCCTTGAGCTGAAGAGCTGAGGGACAGCGCCAGGCCCAGAGTTCAGGCCCCACGACTGTCAAAACAACAACAACAACAACAACAACAACAAAAGAGGTGGAGATAGAAGGATTGTGGTTCAAAAGAAAAAAGAAAAGCCTTATCTTTCTAACAGTTGTGCATGGTAGCATATCTAGCCATCTCAAGTATTTGAGAATATGAGTGGATTATTTCTGAGGTCAACCCAGACAAAAGTGCAAGATCCTTTCTGAAAGTATAAAGGTCTAGGGATATGGCTCAAGTGGTAGAACATTTGCTTAGCATTCAGTAAGCCTTTAGTTCAAACCTAAGTACCACCAAAAATTAAAAAGTTCACATAACCAGTTAATAATAGAACAAAATTAGTTTATTCATACAAACACACACTATGTGTATATGTATGTGTATATGTGTATGTGCAAATCCATTTTACAAATTATATAGAGAAATTTATTTCTCGTGTAATTTTTTTTGGTTGGTCATGGGGCTTGAACTCAGGGCCTAGGTGCTGTTCCTGAGCTTTATTACTCAAGGCTAGCACTCTATTACTTTGAGCCACAGCACCCCTTCCAAGAGATTTATTTCTAAAGTCACAGTTTCTCATGTAAGCTCTTAATAAGAATTAAATAATGAACAAAACAGTCAATGTCTAATACATTTGTGTTTTGGAAAAGATACTTAGGAGGTAAATCAACAGAAATCTTTGATCATATAGACATAGGAAAGAGATGGAAAGAGATGGTGAGAGGATGGTGAGAATGTTGCTCTGTAAAGAAATCTAAGATAGAGACACAAGAGGCTTTATCTTTATGGCTGTTCTTCTTAATGCACTTACAACGTACTATGTGATTTTTTTGTTTCTTTTGAATGTTCTTCATCCACGGTATAACCCTGTTTTCACTGTATTTGATTCCCGTGTCCTGCATCTTGTATATACACTTTTCTAATTTGGGGAGGGGAAGGGAAAAAACAAAACGCTTAAATAGGGACACAGGTTGACCCGTTGTAACAATGAGATGTACAAGACACTATGTTGAAAACGAACTTTACAACTTGTGGTGGGAAGGGAGGGAGGAGTTGGGGAGGTGGGCAGGGAAGGGATGGTAGGGGAAAACAAAGGAAGAGGTAACAATGCTCCATAGGAAATGTACTCATTACCTTACTCATGTAACTGTAACCCCTCTGTATACTATTTTTACCATAAAAGATGTATTACAAAAGGAAATGTAATCACTACCTTACTTATGTAACCATAACCTCTCTGTACATCACCTTAACAGTAAAATTAAAACAAAAATAAAAACAAAACATGGTTAATGAAGAGGAGTTGGCAGCAGTAACATTCCTTTGTAAGGTTAGAGACAGAACCTGGTATTTAAATTTTAGAAAAACTTAGAGATGATCTGGAGTGACTGCAGTTACTGAGCTGTTCTAGTGCTTCAGGACACAGCAGGATATGATGTCTTTGTAGGTCAGTGTGTAGGGAAGATGTGGTGGTAACTATACTCTGCAGTTTTCTGATGACAGGAAATGCTGAGCAGCCAGCCAATCAAATAAAAGAGAAGATTCCTGAGATAGTAGTGAAACTCTGTGGACTGATTTAGCAACCTGTCAGTTACTGAGCCTTGCATTTGGGAGATGGGGATCTCTGAGAGGCATAGTTCTAACGTTACAGAAAGGAAGTCAGATCCCTACTGACGTTTTCCTGTTTTACTGTTTTTGTGAGGGTGTGGCATAGATTTTCACTCCTGCTGAAAGCATTAAGAAAGTAATATTGGGGACTGGGAAGGTGGCTCAGTGGTAGAGCGCTTGCCTTGCATGCCTGAGGCCCTGGGTTCGATTCCTCAGCACCACATAAGCAAAATGAAAAAAGCTGGAAGTGGCACAGTGGCTCAAGTGGTAGAACGCTAGACTTGAGCTGAAGAGCTGAGGGACAGCCCCAGGCCCAGAGTTCAGGCCCCACGACCGGACCTCCCCCCCACCCACCCCAAAAAAGAAAGTAATATTGAAGTCTATGAAAAATAAGCAAAGCGATTGTAGCTGGTGGGTAAAGTAGTTTCCAAAAAGTTTTAAAAAATCAGCAAGATTTTCCTTAACACTTGAATACTTTTCAAACATAATGTCACATAGTCAGATTAACTCACATTGTTTCTTTACATTGGGCAATGTTTAGAAGCTACATTGATAATTCAATGAGTCTACTTTGGTCTAAATGAGGACTTTAGTCTGTGTTCCCCATGCAACTGGCCTCCCAGACTTAGGGTCTCAAGTTTTGTGAGTGATCCAGTTGTCTGCTGGTGAATGTTTATCAGACAGCTCTCCAGAAAGGGTTAAAAACTCATGATTTACCATAGCAACTCATTTTTCCTGATGTATGTATTCTTAGTATAGTTGATTCCAAGTTGCTTCTGTGAAACCCTGAATTCAAAGAGGAGAAGAGATACCTACGAGCAAATTGTATTTTCACAAGGCAGGTAACAAAAGAGATGGAGAAAACCTCAAGACCACATTCAGTGGTAAAATGTAGCAATAGATTTGAGAGACAGTACAATTGGAATAGTCATGACCCTAGTTTTAAACTTAGTATGTAATTGTAAGATGATAAGTTTAATATTTAATAAGGACCATGACTTACAATCAGGTCACAAAACTCCTGGAAATCTGAAGTTAGCTTAGGTGAACTGGGAGAGCTGGAATCATCATATGAACTGTGAATCTTACAGGTGAAATTTACATGGCAGTTGTTAATGTCTTTCTTGATATTATTATCAATGTCTCCGTAGGCATAGATAACTCTGGACCACAGAAACCAAGAGTCAGCAATTCTAATTCATCTGTACCATTTAATTGCGATATAACTCTAAGAAAGATGCTTACATTCAATGCACTAAGATCTTCCATTGGTAAGATGAGTATGATTTACAAAGCCAGTGCAAATTTTGGAAACTTTTCTAGGGAAGTTGTCTTGGGAAATCAAGTACAATAATATAGATATAGATATATGAATTAGCTATTGCAAATTTGCCCTGAGCTCATTCACTGCATCTATTTTGTGCAAAATACTATGAAACAGATTCTTGCTTGTATAGGTCTCTAAGCTGCTTGATTAGCATCTTCAAAGTACCTTTTGACAAAGTAGTTTTAAAAGGTTATTTCTGTCTGTAAAGCTTAGTCAAAATTGTTTATCTTAAGGATAGTGTCAACATTTTTGCCCTATAAGTATCATTATTTGGCAATTGGACCTAGAAGACATTATCCAAATCCATTAGTGTGAAAAAGATGGCTTTAAATGTGTACTACTATTAAAACCATTGTCCTTTTATCATAGTTGAAAAGAAAGAGATTGCTCAACTTTAGTGCCTAAAGTATAGAGTGCTTATGCACAAGGCACTGGGATAGTGTTTAAGAGTAGGGAGAAGGTTGTGCATTCTATTTTTTTAAAAAAGAAAAAACCTAACTTATGAAATAAGAAAGTAAGCAGAATGACCTTATTGTATTCAAATCATTCTGAATTTTCTTAGGGAATTAGATCTGTACATTCATGAAGAAAAGATGAACTTGAAACAGGGAAATCTGAACCTAAATCTCTATTTCATTTCTTCTTTTCTTTTGCTGGTCCTGGTACTTGGTACTAAGACCTGTGCCTCTGTGCTCAAGGCTAGCACTTTACCACAAGCCAAAGTGCCACTTCTGGCTTTTTCTGAAGATCAGAGTCTCATGGAAATATAAAAATGAGAATTGAGGTTTCATATTTTTCTTTTTATTCTGTTTAAAGTTTTCCAGTGAAAATATCTATTATCTCTTTTATTGTCAGCAAAGGATTTTTTTTAGTTTTTTTTTTTTTTTTTTTTGGTTGGTTGTAGGGCTTGAACTCTGGACTTGGGCCCTCTCCCTCAGCTCTTCAGCTCAAGGCTAGCACTCTACCACTTGATCCACAGAGCTACTTCCTGTTTTCTGGAGGTTAATTGAAGATAAGAGTCTCACAGACTTACCTGCCTGGGCTGGCTTTGAACCGTGATCCTCAGATCTGAGTGGCTAGGATTACTGGTGTGAGCCATGGATGCCTGGCTTGTACATTTTAATATTTTTTTATTTTTTATTTATTTTTGCCCATCCTGGGGCTTGAATTCAGAGCCTGAGCACTCTCTCTGAGCTGCTTTGTGCTCAGGGCTAGTGATCTACCACTTGAGCTATGGCGCCACTTTTGGCTTTTTCTGAGTAGTGTATTGGAGATAAGTCTCCCGGGTTGGCTTTGAACTGCAGTCCTCTGATTTCAGCCTCCTGAGTAGCTAGGATTACAGGCATAAGCCACTGGCACCTGGCTTCTATTTCACTTGTTACTACCTAGTTTGATTTGAGACAAACTATCACTTAAAAATTTTTTTTTCAATGTAAATCAATGAAAATATCCAGACTTCAATGAAAACAACCCTGACTTCGTTGGGTTACATACAGATTAAATGCCAATGCATAATAGGTGATTAAAATTGTTCATTACCTTTTAGTTTTATCCTGTCACTCATCCCTAATGTTCGAGTAGAAATGTAGCTTATAATCACCATTGGTGTGATGCTGACACCATGGTAAGCTGTCTCGGCTGTCATACCTCGAAGTTGACATTCTCCAGGTTGGCTGGGACGCGGTATGGATTACTTGCTCGACTGCTCTTGACAGTTTTACACATTCCTCCAGTGAAAGAGTTATCAAGGACTTCTCCTCTCGGTTCCCCAGCTAGAAAATGAAACCTAAAAAGAAGGCAATTGTCAAGAATTCAAGGGATGTAGAAAAATCCTTTAAATTTGTCTTTTTTTATATGAATGAAATTATTTTTTCCCTAGACCTTTGTTACTCTTGATAACTGACTTGAAAAAAAGTCCTTTATTTTCTTCTAGTACCTGTAAACCAAGCTCTCCTATCTTTCGAAGGTACTTTTTCACTTTTTTAATTGTGTTGAGATTTCAACACAAAAGTTTATAATTTTTTAAATGATTTCCAAAGCCAGTACAAACTTTGGGAGCAGATTGTGAAATAAATGATTATAAAATAACTGTTATTCTGGGTTCATTGCCTTCAATATGATACTGTGTAGGACTCTTGATAGAGTTATTTATGAAATAGTAATACTTATGTAAAATTTTATGTAAAATTTATGTAAAATAAGTTATATAAATTAAACAATAGTAAGTACTATACAAATATTGTTTAACCTTACAATATAGTTACAATTGTTTTATTCATTTTCCGATGAAGAAACTAAGGTATACATAATGATTAGTTTAGCACAAATTAAGCATTTAAGAAGCTATTTTTTTGTCTTGTTTTGAGGTATTTTATAGCTTTTCTTTTTCTTTTCCAGAACTGAGGACTGAACTCAGGATCTTGTGCACGCCAGGCAGGTGCTCTTCTGCTGAGCTAAACCACCAGCCCCAGAAGCTATTTTGTGATGCACAAAAATTTCAAGTTCTTTGAGATTGTAGTACATATTCTGTGAGAAAGTAGGATGGTTTTCTTGTTGTAGTTAAAAAGTTTAGTGTTGATACATTATATAAATGATAAAAAATTGTCTACAGATCATTCCAGAGCCTGTAATAATGCAAATTGCCATTCTGTAACTACATTTGACTACATAACCATGCATTTTATAAAACCCGTAATAGAGTTCTAAAGAACATCCTTGGAAAAATTCCATGGAGCAGAAGGAACTGTACTACTACTCTCATTTCTCAAGATCCACCATTGCTCTCGTCTCTTCTGACGATGGAAGGGAGCCTTACAAAGGCTCTAACCTCCCCAAGGAGATCATGTACGCTCCCTTCTCTTGTATCTCTATACTAGCTTTAAAGACATAATGCATCTGAAACATGTGACTCCTCCCAAAGGAATGGGTGATTTGAGAGAAGACAAATAGACTCATTGCTTGTGAGGACATCTCTCATTATGTAAAACTCTTTTGATCTGCTATTAGACACTTGGATTTGAATAGAAATTTCAGCTTTTCAGGTACTTGTTCTGACCAGCTGACATACCATCCTTCTATCAAAAAGGAGCAAGGGTATCCCATGAAAATTGTGAGATAAATGCTGCATGAAGAAATGCTCAAAATCTCTGGAAATAAGGGAAATGCCAATCATAGGAATACTGATATTCCATCTTACCCCAGTAAGAATGGCCATATCAAGCAGACAAACAACAAATTCTGGCACAGACATGGAGGGGAAAAGGAATCCTAATGCTCTGTTGGTGTGAATATAAACTGGTACAGCCACTGTAGAAGGCAGTTTGGAGATTCCTCAAAAAAAAAAAGTAAATATAGAACTATGCTATAACCCAGAAGTACCCGGGCATTTATCTAAAAGATTACAAGACAGGATACAGTCAAGACATTTGTACACTTATGTGCATTGCTGCACTATTTACCATAACCAATTTATGGAAATAGCCCAGATGCCCTTCAATAGGTGAACAGATCAAGAAAATTATATGTATTTGAAACATGGTCTTGCCAGGGATGGCCTGTAACTCACAATCCTCCTGATTTAGCCTCTTAGGGCTGAGACCACATAGTCATGTGCTTCCAAGCCCAGGACAACTGTACAGTTCAAATGGTTGGATTTTATTGCATGTGAATTCTCAAGGGAGTTGTTTTAAAAAAGAAATGATCCTTGTGGGTTCTTTAAGATGTGTAGTACACTCAGATGGCTGCAGGCACAATTTAAGAGTTCTTTTCATTCATATTTGAATTTTTATTAGTGGGTACTTGAAAGAAGAAGTATAAGAAGCTAATAGGAGATGAACTTTCCAAGCTACTTGTATGAACATGACAAAAACCCATGGGTTTTCTTGAGTTATTTATTTGCATTTCAAGTTTAAGAGAGATGAAAGAAGAATACTCTTGATTCTATACTGCCTTATTCTATTCACAAATATGAAAGGACTTGAGAAAAATTGCTCCCAGGTTGTATGAAATCTAGGAAGGTATCAGCTACTTCCTGAGGGTAAAGATGGGATTTTTATGAAGGTAGCTCTAGCAGGGCAGGCTGGCAGATCTCTCAGGAGGTAAGCCAACAACATGGCAGGTTTTATCTGCTTTCTCTTCTTTCCCATCCATCAGGTTTAGATTGATATTAAGTATTTGCTTGTTTCAAATACACATTGATATTTAGTATTTTAGCTTTTATGTTTTTTCTTTATGTGTCTTTGGAACTTTTTTCCTTTTTTTTTTTTTTTGCTAGAGCTTGAACACAGGGATTTTACAAGTGCTAGGCAATTGCTTTGCCACTACTTTATAAAAAGAAATGAAAATACATAAACACATGTATGTGTTTTCATGTATATGTATTCATGAATATATGTGCATGTGTCTACTTGGGCAGAGCCTGATTTTTAAAAAAGCCCAACAGCATGCTTTTAGTGCCTGATTTTTTTTTTTTCAGATATAATGTTGGAATTTTAGTATGTCTTACTAAAATTTTTCTTGGAAAGAAAAAATTTTTTAAATGGAATGGCCATGTAGGAAACCATCTGTTGTGGGTAGAAATGTAGTGGGTAGCAGAGATTCTAAGACCAGTAGATTAGAAAGAAATGGCAATGAACAACTCTTGAAATGGTCCCTAGGGAGACCCGCAGAAGACTGGTTGTCCCTGGGCCAGCAGCTTTTGCTCATTTCTGAGAATCTTTGGGACAATCGCTCTAGTTGGAAGAAGGCCATATAGTTCTGCCAAAGCACACATAGCACATGGTCCTCCCCTCTGGAACACTAGAGTCTAGACAAACAGGGCAAGAAGTGAGTTCGCAGTGTCACCCTTCATCAGTCAGAATATTAGAAAATGGGATTGTCAGTAGGAGTTTGGGACTGAGATTTTTCCTCTGGGGTGGGGTGGATAGGATGAATGAGGGAGGGGGTGGCTCTGTTTATAAGGAAATGGACTCATCTGACTTGTGTAACTGTAACCTCTCTGTACATCACCTTGGCAATAAAATTTATTTTTTTTAAAAATAGGATGTTGAAGTACTCTTGTTGAAAGCAGCAATAATTAGAGATTTTTTTTTTAATTTTTGTGATCCTGGGGCTTGAACTAAGGGTCTGGGAACTGTCCCTGAGCTCTTTTGCTCTAGGCTAGTGCTCCAGCACTTTGAGCCACAGCACCACTTCTGGTTTTCTGGTGCTTGATTGGAGATAAGAGTTCATGGCCTTTCCTGCCTAGGCTGGCTTTAAATCATGATCCTCAAACCTCAGCTTCCTGAATAGCTAGGCTTATAGGCATGAGCCACCAGCACCTGGCTATAAATTCCTAAGACAGAATCTAGAATCTGTTTTTAATCCTGCAGCCTATGAATGTGGAAACTGAAGCCTATCAATATAAATAATGAGGCTGTGATGCCATGAATGCAGGGTTAGGTCTAGAGCTCTCCTCCATTTGCTTCTAGACTAATGCTTTTTGTTTTCTATTTATCAGTGCCTTTGAGTTTGGTTCAATGGACTGTATTGAATTTATTGGTTTTTATTCTAAATCTAATGACAGTGCATTCACAGTTGAGGCTGTCTCTCTTTTAGGCATCAAGAGTTCATATTATGCAACTCTGGCAACACAATGAAGACTTTAACCCCAAGATAGGGACACAGGTGGTTTTATCTTTCTTGCTGTCATCTTTAATGTACTTATAATGTACTATGTGATTTTTTTTGTTTCTTTTGTATGTTCTTCTCCTATGGTATGACCCCTGTTTTCACTGATTTTGATTCCGGTGCCCTTAATGTTGTATATACATTTTTCTAATTTGAGGAGGGGAAGGGAACTAACAAAATGCTGAAATAAGAGTATAGGTTGACCCATTGTATCAATGAGATATACAAGACACTATGTTGAAAACAAACTTTACAACTTTGGGGGCGGGGGTTGGGGAGAGAGGAGTTGGGGAGGTGGGGAGGGAAGGGATGGTAGGGGAAAAACAAGGAGGGGGTAACAACACTTGATAGGAATGTATTCATTACCTTACTCATGTTAACTGTAACACTTCTGAACAGTTTTTTTTACAATAAAAATATATATACAACAAAAGAAAATACAAAAAAATTAAAGCAGTCCAATATGAAGCAGTAGAAGCTGATAGAAAACTGTTTACCTCTGACCAAAAGATGAAGGGTGGGTTCTTCATCATAGGGATAAAAGGGCACAAGAGATTACTTTACTTAGTTTTGTTTATTTCGGGCTAAGGCTTAATTCTGTTTTCCTTGACTTCTCTTATGTTTCTTAGGCTACTCCATTTCCCAGTTTCTTACGCTACTCCATTCCCCAGTTTCTTAAACTATTCCTAATGAGCTTGGAACTCCTTGATGAATTCCCAGTGTTTTTCTGGCTGCATTTTTCTAAAACAAGGACATTGTAATTTCCGAGCATTAGCAAAACACCTGGCTCCATGATCTGTTGAAGTTTCTTCCCACATTTTATTATTCACTAACATGATATTGTCTTGAATCAGCATGAAATAATAGAGGAAACCTGGGGTTCGAAATCTGGGTTTGAATCCTAATTCTGCCATTGGAACTTGGTAGACTTTGGCAATGCACTTAAACTTTCTGTGGTCCAGATTCTCAGTTCCTAAACAAGGACCAGATGGTAATGTAAGTCTGTCTTTCTGCATTTACTGCAGAGCTCTACCCTTATAGTATAGTCCATACGAGAAGATTGCTGGCGTGCTACTTATCTCTGATTCTTGTGTGTGTGTGTGTGTGTGTGTGTGTGTGTGTGTGTGTGTGTGTGTGCCAGCCATAGGGCTTGAACTCAGGGCCTGTACTGTAGCTATTCTGCTCAAGGCTAGCACTCTACCATTATACAGTCACAGCTCCACTTCTGGCTTTTTTTGTGTGGTTAATTGGAAATATGAGTCTCACAGACCTTCTTATCCAGGGTTGGCTTAGAACCACAGTCCTCGAATCTTTGCCTCCTGAGTATCTAGGATTACAAGTGTGAGACACCCATTGCCTGGCACAGCTCTTGGTTTTTGATATCATTGTAATCGCCCTTTATTTTCTGCTTGCTTAACTCTTTCTTTCTGTTTTTCTTTAAAATTTTTGTCATCTAAAAGTAGTTGTACACAGGCTTTCAATCCAACATAGTGGTTTGCGACTAAAATACATCTTGATCAATGCCTCCCCTTTGCACAATTCTCCCTCATTTCTCCAAGCCACAAATACCCCTCTTTCTGATTTTGGCTACCAGAATTGACTCTGAGCTTCTTGTTCATTCAAGGAGATTTGTTAAAGTTCTCTGAGCTTCTGACACCCAACATACCCGTGCTGTCAATTTGCTTCTGGCATATCTGAGTAGTTAGTCCATTCCATTCCTAATTCCAGGAACCCAGTTGGCACCTGCCACCTTAGCTGCCCTAATCTAATATACCTTGATCCATTCCAGAGCTTTCAGAGGGCAGTGCGAGAATTAAAAAAAAGACATCATTATGAAGGACATACCACATTTACCTGGTACCAACTACATGTGGAAATGGTAAAATCTTTGTATTCTCTTTGAGTGAGAATTACAGCCATATGTTGCCTGGATATGATAATCAAGTATGACGAGAGAGCTGGTGAGTGTAGAAAGAAGTCAGTAAGGGAGATAGATCACTAATCTTGAGCAATAAAGCTCAAGGATAGTGTGCAGGCCCCGAGTTCAAGCCCCTCCAACTGACTAATAATAACAAGCATAATAATCATAATAATGTTACATACCCAGCACCCATCAACTGTGCACTAGGGATGGGTGTGTACTGCCGGGGACACACTGCCTTAGTTCTCCCACAATCCTTTTCATCTGAGTTGTCTCCACAGTCATTTTCTCCATTGCATTCTAACCTGTTGGGAATGCAACGCCCTGGTGGAAAAAAAAGTACACAGCATTGCCATCTATTGTCATTTAAGACAGTAGTTGTTGTGCAATACACGCTTTACATTTTATTGATTGATTGATTGATGGCCAGTCCTGCGGCTTGAACTCAGGGCCTGTACACTGTCACTGAGCTTCTTTTGCTCAAGGCTAGCACTCTACCATTTGAGCCACAGTCTCACTTCTGGCTTTTTCTGTTTATGTGGCACTGAGGAATCAAACCCAGGGCTTCCTACATGCAACGGGAGCACTCTACCACTAAGTCACATTCCCAGCCCGTTTTAAAGGAATGTTAGGGGCAAAATTGCATTACTGTTTGTAAAGGATTAGGAATTTATAGAAATGGGATGATAAATTGATATTTTCCATAAGTCTGAAGATGATCAGAGTTGCCAGAAAGTTATTTGGTTGCCATTCAGGTCCCTGCTTATAAGAAAAGAAGTAATTCTACAATCACATTATAGTGATTTTGCTTTTGTACAAAATATATGTTTTGTACAAAAAAAGTTAACAGGGGTTGAGAATTTTATTGTGATTCAGATGTCAGAATCTAGGTTATAGTTTTTATTGGAAAGTACTACAATTTTTATGCATGCAAATAAGACAGCTGAATCTCTAAAGTTTCATGGTGAGCAAAGAAACCCGACTTAAGGGCCATGACCTGAAATTAATTTAGATGATGTTCAAGAATATGAATAAGGTGGTGATTAACTAGAAAGCAAAAGATGTGAAGACATTTTCTATATCTCCACTGACATTTGTTTCCATGGTTGTATAAATTTATGAAAATCAAATTGCACATTTAGGATCTATGTATTTTGTAAATATAATTATTTAATTACTAGATGTAACTACTATTTATTTTATTAAATATATTCACTGTTCTCCTCTATGTAATTACTGTACTTAATTATTTTACTAAATATAACTTACCATATCTGACTGTTTTCTGGACAAATTTAGTTCTGAGATGACAAGTTAAATAAATGCATTGGGAAAATGATACAAATTCCATGGTTGCATCTGATTCTCTTTTGTACTTTTTGTCTTGCTGATTTTCCTAAGGATCTTTGGATTCAGTGTGTTACTCTGTACTGTATAAACTAAATGCCCTGGGTACACGGCTGAAATATCCTCTCCTGTTCCTCAGCTTCTTGCTGTGTTCAAGGATGCTGGTAACTGTGCCATTTTACACACATTCATCAATAGCCAAATGACTTACTCAAGATTGTCTGACTGACTATTTTGGGTTGTGACCAAAATCTCACTATAGCTATGTGTTACTATTTTGACTAAAATACTTGGAGGAAATGGGTATTCTGCCAGATTAATATGTTATTAACACAAGGTGACCTCCTAAAAGATTTCATTGCAAGTCTTCTGGTCAATCATTTTCCCTTAGAAGGTAGAGTGCAATGAAAATAATTTTCTCCCCTTGAGTATTCAAGATCATGCATGATGTCCAGACTATTATTATAATTATACACAGACTCATGCAAAAATTAAAATATAGATGGAATAGAATTTCTATCGATCTCAAGATATATCCTGGAAGCTAGTCTCATTTTAAAACAGTATATCTTTAGTCTTATTTTAAACAGTAGACAGATTGTGCAATTTAATTTGAAATAGAAGATATTTTAATCTACAATGAACTTATAGTACTTCTAGAGCTCTGAATATGGCACTTATAAGTTTAAGAGAAATATAACTTTTGGAAGGTGTAGAGATAAGAAAACTCATTCTGGGTATCATTCCTACTAGCCAAAGTTTGTGAGTGGGTTATCAGGTTTGCGAGGGTATAAGAAATTCCATCTATTTGGTCCTTCAAGATATTGAAGGGGGACTTTTAGAAGGCATAGGGATAAGAACTGCTGGGACAGCTCCACCATGAACCCCAGCTGTCCCCATAACCAGCAACGGACTGATAAATTCCTGGCTCTTATGTGATGATCAAGTTATTCCACAGCCTTTTGGTTGTTAAATATTCCATCAAACATGACATAGAACTCTACAAAGCATCCATTAACACCACAGAGAATGGGAATTAGATTGGGTATTTTTTTTGTACCAGACTCAGAATGACATTTAGTCCTCACCTAACAAAGAAACAGAACTAATCATCAGTACTAAAGAGACTACCTTCTTTTAGTTCCTCCCTCATCATCACGATTCAGCCTCTTTGGAGTTCCCAAGATATTCAATGTCTACATGGAATTTTCAGAATTACTCACAAGGATTGTCCCTGTGATGTTTGGGACATAGCTGAGAATAATTGGGGGCCATCAAATCCCAATGGAAGAGCAAGTAGGAAAAATGAGCTATTGTAAGCTCATAAATAAATCTTACATCAAAGCAGGGATTAGAAAGTCAAGGAGAGTTTACATACTGCAAGATTTGTAGATGTCAGCCTATGCATATGCAGTAGTCCCTGCTTCTCAATGAGGAGTAGGTTTCAACTTCACCAACCTTATAACTTAATGCATTTCCTGGCTTCATTAAGCACCAATCACACACTGTGGTCCAACTTTTGCAGTGTGTGGCAGCATAACTAGCACAGATTTATTTTGCCCTCTTCACAATTTCCTGGAAATTGTACTTCATGGCCATCATCAAAGAAAGTAAAGGTATTATAAATGCAAACCCTGTCACAGCACGACAGGAAATCTGATCACTGACACTAACAGGCCAGTCAGGTGCACAGTGTAAATGTGCTAGACAAAGGGGTAATTCACTCTCTGGGTAGGACAGGGAAGGAGGATGTGAAATTCCATCACCCCATTCTGACATGCAATGTGAAACGTACACATTATTTATTTTGGGAATTTTTCATTCGATATTTTGTGAATATGGTTAACCACAAGTAGCTAAAACCATGAACAATATATACACACATATATAACATATGTGTGTATATTTAATATCTGTATGTATATATATATATATCCTCTGAGCTATATCATTACTTAGAAATTAAATTTTTTTTGTTTACTTGAACTTACACGTGTTACTGCAGTGGTATAATGTTTTTATAACCAGACACAGATTTTTCTAGTCTTGTAAGCTTAAAATGAGAACTTTTAAAAGTAAGTTGGCACAATGCCTTGGAGTTAGTCTTGTGAGTAATTCTGAAAATTCCATGTAGACGTTGAATATCTTGGGAACTCCAAAGAGGCTGAACAGTGGTGATAAGAGGAGAACTAAAAGAAGGTAGTCTCTTTAGTACTGATGATTAGTTCTGTTTCTTTGTTAGGTGAGGACTAAATGTCATTCTGAGTCTGGTACATAAAAATCCATAACCATCCAGTCTCATCCCATTCTCTGTGGCGTTAATGGATGCTTTGCAGAGCTCTGTCTTAATATGTCATGTTTGATGGAATATTTAACAACCAAAAGGCATTGGAATAACTTGATCATCACGTATGAGCCAGGAATTTATCAGTCCATTGCTGGTTATGGGGACAGCTGGGGTTCATGTTTGAAGCTGTGTGGACAGCAGGGTCATACTGCTTACAGACCATTACCCATTCATGGTAACAATTCAATTGTTGAAAATCAATGGCTATTGATAGATTGCTGATGAAGTGAAGCCCAGCTGTGCTGACAGTGCTAACTTTCTGAAATCACTTGTTATGTATCGGCAACCCAAGGAGAAATAAAAAATTTGTCAATATTTTTGGCTTCTGCAAAGCTCTTTTGTGCCTAATTTCACAGGCTTATGGCTTACAGAATCAAAAAATCTTTCCTGATTATGTGTTGTAAAATTACCTTTTAAAGCTTCAGTCTTACATTTTAATTTTAATATTCTTATGTATACATCATATATATTACATAATTCTATGTATGTACTATCCTCAGTCACTATCATCAATATTTGGCTCCTATTTCCTTTTTGGTTAATTTGTGACATGACCTCTTTCATCTAGACACAATATACATCTCCATATTAAAATCCCTCTCTCATTTTCCAGGATTGGGGTAGGCAGAGAGAAAACACTGACATTCAAGAAAAGTTGGCAAATTGAAGTCAAGAACCAAGGCATAAGAGGAAGAAACTTTAGTTCCAAGGTTATTTTCTTATGAAATTTGTTATTTATTAAATATAAATACATCACTTTTCAAGATCTGAGGGTAGGCAAAAATGAATTTCTTTATGAATAAATAATAAGTGAATTTATCACCTGGATCTTATTTTGATTCTAAATTCAAATTGACTATTTTGATAGAATGTTGGTGAACTATTTATAGCTCGTGTGTTAAACTGACCTGAACCTCTCTTGTAAAGAAAATTTTATCGGATCTCTTCCATGCTCATTTGTCCATATATTGCCCAGGGCAGCTTCAGTGGTATTGTGCTAGAGTTCAGTGTCAGGAAGACAGACCACACACTTACAAAAGCTAAATATTTTCCAACTGTATCTTTGCTAAAAATTGCAGAAATTAGAGCTAAATTGTTCAAAATGGAGAGCATTGAAGAGTTATTAATTAATAAGAAGGCATACATGATTAATTTATCCAAGATTTGGTTATATTCTAATGGTACTTAAATTCAGATTTTACAAGTCTGAGTGTTAGACTTGAAGATATTGCAAGCAGTTAAATCATTTTGATCCTGTGTTTTGGAATTACCTACAGATGCAATAAAAACTATATTTTTTTCTAGTAATTCTTCTGACACACATCCTTCTGACACAGTATTTCAATATGATTGTATTAATAAACTTATTGAAAGTCTTTTCAATCTATCACTTCAAGCATCCTCATTGTGTATTTGTACTTATTAACACATGATTGAAAATATCTGCCAATGTGTATTTGTACTTATTAACACATGATTGAAAATATCTGCCAATGTGTATTTGTACTTATTAACAATGATTTAAAAAGCTGCCAATATTTATTATTCCCCTTCCTCCCTTTTCTCTCTGCTTGAGAACAATGTGGGGATTCCAATATCATTGCTTAATGAGCAAATGAATCAGGTAAGTGGTCAAGATGACTGTATCTGGAGAGCTCTAATTCCACTCATATATACCTTGGCCATTTGTAGCATAATAACTCTATCTCTTGTGGTTAAAATGGGTGGGATTTCTCTATCATAGCTTTCACTGGTACTTAGTTGGAATAGCTTTGATTTAGTCTTTTCTTTTTGTGGAGACTGAACATTTTACAAAAGTACTTTACCACTGTCACAACGAAATTTGTTCTTGCAATCAGCCTCTTCAATTCTGCAGAGTTTAGATGGGATGCATGGTTGAAAGGTGCTCAGGGGCTCAGTACACGGTTGTCCTCCAAATTGACTAGGGCGCAAGACAGATCTAATCTTGAACTGGAAGGAACGGAGAGAAAGATGAGTAACTCTAAGACAAAGTCAAGGTCAAAATGCAGCTAAGAAAAACGAGGGTGAAGTTTCCTATGGTAGTGTTTCCTAAACTGTACTAACATTTATTACATTTCATTATTGTGTGTAATTACAAAAGCCACCAACTTCCTACTCCTCAGTCTCCCAACCTGCAAAACAAAGCAATGGGACAAAGTAGGGTTTCTCCTAATACTTGGAATTGCATGGTAATACAAGTACACTATGTATGGTAATGTAAGTACATTAATGTGAAATGTACCAATGTTTACAGGGTCTTCTGGGAGCAGCAAATTCTTCCAGGCAATAACAATAGCTCTTCTATATTTCCAAGACAGTGTGAACTGATAAATGGGAAACGATTTTTTAAGATTCTTTTGCCTAAGGAAGTCACCATGGAAACCAAAGTTGACATATTCTCCCTACTTGGAAAGATAGTAAAATAGTAAAATGAAAATGTCCAAGAAAGATAGAAATAATGCCAGTGTAACAAGTACTGACTCTCAAGCCAAAAATCATATTAAAATGCAAATACTTTATTAATTAGTGGTATCTTTTTGGACAAAATATTTAACCCCTAATGGGCTATAACTTCCTATCTATTAAATGAGTGGAAGCACCTAGTACGAGGTGAAGTATCACCAAAGTGACAGAGTACAAAGAGTGGGTGGGTGCTCTGCACATCAGTTTCATTTTCTTTTCTAGTATGTGAATTCTTGGGAACACCACCCTATCTGGGGACATGGGGATCAATGCTCTTTCAGATGTGAGCAAGAACTGGGTAAATATTACAGCTGGGAACAATAAACACATGGAGGGACTTTCCCATAGGAAAAGGAATTCGAAGGCAGGGCAGAATCAGCCTTTTGATTTATTTCCTTAATTTTGTCTCGTTTTAAGCATTCAACTGAAATCTCCATTCTTAAAGCAGTTAGTTTTATATTCAGCATTTTCAGAGGACATAGGCAGTGGAAATAAAATATGGTAAGCATAATAATACAATGTTGGAGGAGGAAGTTCCTTTTGGTGTTCATATGACAGTAGAGCATGTCATGTAAAAATAAATCTCAGCTCTTCACCCTCTCTCTGAGAAAATTACTAAATGAAAATTTCCCCCAGAGGCAAGTGAGGTAGTTTATTGGGGAAATGGAAGGAAGAACATTTCTGTGTTGCTGGTCCTGTCAGGGAATCAGAGAACTTAATTGCAATTCAGATATCTAGGGTGTGTTCCTGTGTCACATACCTGTTTTCCAACACAGGGGTCACAGTCCGACCATGGCCCATAGTCTCCCAGAAGGCAGTTGATGGGACACATCTGCCAGTTGCATGCTCTGGTCTCCTGCTTGGTGCAGGTCTGGTCACAAGAATTGTCCCAATAGTAACTGTCCATTACTATTTGTCTGTTATAGTGAGAAAAATGTTGCTCAGAATGAGTGTCCTCATTGTGGCCCCAGCCCTATCATCAAAATATTGTAGAACATTAACTCCAGAATTAAATGGGAAGAATATTTTCTTTTTTTGGGGTCCGGTCGTGGGGCTTGAACTCTGGGCCTGGGCATTATCCCTCAGCTCTTCAGCTCAAGGCTAGTGCTCTACCACTTGAGCCACAGCGCCACTTCCAGCTTTTTTCTTTTTGCTTATGTGGTGCTGAGGAATCAAACCCAGGGCCTCCTGCATGCAAGGTAAGCACTCTACCACTGAGCTACCTTCCCAGCCCAAGGGAAGAATACTTTCATTGAAAGATCAAACATTGAAAGTGGCACTGTGGCTCAAAGTGATAGAATGCTAGCCTTGAGCTAATGGAGTTCAGGGACAGCACCTAAGACCTGAGTTCAAGTCCCATGATGGACAAAAAAGGATTAGGCATATTTGTATATATGTATCTATATATGATATAGATATCTATTCAGATATCTATCTATCTAGACACCTTTCTATATCATAAAGAAACTGAAAACCAGATATATAATTTATGGGGTCAAGTACAAAGTAAAGATAAGGTTTCCAATTGAAGACTTTAAAGACAATGAAATAGAGCATTAAATCAAGTATGAAGCCTTTCTAATTTGGGGCCAGTGAGTGGACACAAGGCACATTCATGAAGCTGGTCTTGATGGAGCTCCCGAATGGGATTGGAAGGAAAAAGTAAATTGCTTAGAAGATGAATACAATTTATAAGTATAGTGATGAAGGTAGGTCAGGATTTAAAAGCAACATTTAAAGGCCAAGTAGCAGGAGAAAACATTTATGTTTTCTCTCCAAATGATCAAAATTTGACATGGAAGAAAGCATGACTATTCCAGAAAGGAGCTTGGCCAGTGAGCATATGATAGGGAAGGATCGTATTTTATTTGCTGGGCAGAGCTTCTAAAGGACGCTTCAGTAGTCCAGTATAAAGAAATTTGTTTTCACTCTTGGTAGATGGTTTATTGGAAGTCAACTGGTAATTTTAATGAGATTCAAACTACATATGCAAAAATAGCTTTCTAAAATAAGTGTCCAAAATGAGCAATAAGAATCTAAACACAATAACTATACATATTTTTCCTTCAAGACCTGTGAACACTTTCATTGTACAGAAAAATCTAAAAAGTATAAATAACATGTGTGAGATGAGTAATCTGAATTGGCAAAAGACTGACTTTTTAACTGTTATCAAGTAAGCAGGTTTTTTTTTTTTTTTTGCCATCCTGTATATGCTAACAATCAAGCTAATAGCTAGCACTACTGCTCAATTGAAGTCCTGTTACACTTGGTTTAATGAGTAGAAAATTCTCTATAATTAACTCACTAATTGTAGGCAAGCAAAGTTGTATACTTATTGAAAAAAAAAACTTGAGTCAGTGAGTCTAAGGAAGTTAGTTAACTAAAAACATTGCACGCTTAATTTCTTTGAAACCTTTTTTTCCCTTAGAGGAAAAGTAGACCATCAGTATTATATAGAAGAGATCTCAACTTCCATATCAATTCTTAAGTTCTTATTTGTCATACAGGCTTCTTTCATTGCTTAAAGCAAAGTTCTTTTATCTTTGCTCCTTCTCCTTTATTTCTTCCTCTTCTTTTCCCTCTTCCTCCTCTTCCTCCTCCTCTCCTCCCCTCTCCTCTCCTCCACACTCTTCTCCTCTCCTCCCCTCTCCTCTCCTCTTCTCTTCTCCTTTATTCTCATTTTCTTCCCCTTCTCTTCCTCTTCCTTTTCCTCCTTTGTGCTTCTCCTTCTTGGGCAGTGATACTGAAGTTTGAACTTAAGGCCTCATATTTGCTGTCCAGTTGTTTTACTACAGCTCTGCTGGCCACAACCCTTGCCCTTTTTGCTTCAAATATTTTTCAGGTAGGGTCTTATTTTTTTCCTGGACTAGTTTGGACCACCATCCTCCTATTTCTATCTTCATCATAGTTCCATGAAGGTATGAACCACCACACTCAGTTTAGTATTTGAGTTGGGGTCTCATTAACTTTTGCTTAGTTGAAACTGCGGCTTGATCTCCAGCTTTTCAGTAGTTGGAATCACATCTCAGAATGGTACAGTACTTCTAGAATTTTTGATCCCATCCTTGTGGTCTCCCAGGACACACACACACACACACACACACACACACACACACAATCAGTGTAGTTCACACCCACCTCTGTCGGCTCTGAGTTCCAGAATTGCAGGTTTTTGAGCAGCTGGACCACTGAGTCCATGGGTAGTGATCACAGAAGCAGGCTTGGTCCCTGTCAATCAGTGTGCTCAGCAGAATGAAATATAAGACAGGGTACCTCGCCATGTCTTAAGAGATTTCAAGACCTAAAACAGAATGATATAAAGTCCATGTTCAGTGATTCTTGGCAATAAAACTTCACAAGTCACTCTGAGTCACAGACTGTAATGTGATTTAGGAAACATCTATATTTCTCTATCTTATTTAAAACAAGTTAATGCACAAACTCAAATGTTAATCATACAACTTGGAATTTTAGAGATTTTTTTAAAAAATGATATTGACTACCATAGTATTATCTTCATGTACAGCACAATAACTTTCTTTGAACTCCAGTGACGGAGTACAAGGCAAACTATGTAAATCACTTCATTCTAAAAATAGTGAGATTTACAAAATCATATAGTTCTCAAAACAACCCCTCATTTTGTGTGGGAAGTACATTTGAACATATTCCAGTTTTCTGTTTTTTTTCTGGGACTGAGGAAGGAGGTTAGACTACGCTTCTAGGATATTCCCTGGCATGTTGGAAACCTAGAGAGAGTTTGCTATTCTATTGCTCTGTACATGGAGACATAGAAGTTAGTGCTCAGTGGGGCTTTAAAAAATCTTGCTGTATTATCTTAAGCAATATCTTAAGCAATTGTACAAAGCATACAATGCAGCCCGATCAATGTCATCCCTTCCATCATTCCCATCCCTCCAACTCCACCCCACCCCTCAGTTTTCTAAGTTCCATTTTCATCCACCATTCTTCTCTCCATTTCTCTTCCCCTTCCCCTTTGCTTCACCTCCCCCCACACCACATGTTCCAGCTTCCTGGTATTAATTTTGATAAACTGTAAGTTAGTTGTTCAAAGGACTTACACCATTGGAATTCTTCCCTGCATATACCTTACTTTAGTACTTTAGTTAATATTTTTAATACTTCAGTTATATGTTTGTGCATATATGCATATGACCCTGTAGATGCTTACATGCATATATAATTTAGATCTAACTTCCAAATGAGAGAAAACATGTGTCCTTTGTTTTCTGAGCCTGGCTTATTTCACTTAACATAATTTTTTCCCAGGTCCATTCATTTCTCTGCAAATGACATAGTACCATTCTTCGTGATAGATGAGTAAAATTCTAATGCATACACACGAAATATATACACACATAACATATAACACACACATACACACACATATATAATTCCTTCACACTGTGTTGACAAAAATGAGGCTGAGATGAAATGGCATTGAAATTGCATGACAATAGCTCTATCTGATGAGGTGCCTCCCTTTGCTGTTTCTAGCAATAGAAATTATTGTTACTGAAGTATTAAGATGCCTGGAGCTCTACCACGAGAGTCATTGGATGACTGTGTCTTGATAAAGACAGTAAAACCCTTGACCAGTGCTGCCCATCTGTGTGCTATGGGGGCTTGTGCATCTACAAGTCATCAGCAAGATCCTCACTGCCCCATGGCACTGACTATTTGGTCTTGATCTTCGTATCTCTAACAAAATATACAACATGATTCACATATGTGTATAACTTATATACACATATATTGACTATGCTGCTGCCATGAATATAACTGTCATTCAGCAAAGTAGCAACTCATTTCCTGTGTTTCAGTTTCATCACCTACAAAATGGAAATTATAGTTTTACTTTTTTATAAGGCCTTTGTTGGAATTCAATAACAAAAAAAGTTGAAATAAAATAGAATGATCCCAAGCATAGAATCAGCACTCAATACATACCAGCTTTCAAATTAATAACTTTTAAGAACATTACAAAATTAATAGTAACACATTGCATTTTCCTCAAAATAAGACTCCTGGCATTAAACAAGACTATTCAAAGCTTTAAAATATGGTTTTAGTCACTTTGCATAATACAAACAAGTCAGATTCCTAATCATTATGTTTGAACTTGCAATGTTCCTCTAGTGCTTCCTATGTCCTCTTATAGCTTTAATTTTTCCTCTGTTTCCAATAAAAAACATTAAGTTTAAACAAATATCTTCTATTTTTCCTATGTCCTGTCTTACTAGAATGCAAACACCATGGTGGCTGGTCTTTTGTGTCAGTTTTCTTCAGGTAAATATTGAGAAGAATGAGAGAAAGCAGAGTATGCATTGAATAAATGCTTGTGGAATTTACCAAGCCAAGGATATGTTTCAGAAACGGCTTTGTATGAAATATGAATGCAAGTTGAATTTATCTTTACCACCACTTCTGTAATAGTATTCTTAAACATTTTATTAGATTATGCGTATTTCATAGATTTTAAAATCAGACGTCTCTGCCCAATGGGCATCTGTTATTTTTGAAAGAATGACAACTTGTAGCATAACCACTTTATCTTGTTTCTATGGAAATTTTAAAAAGAGCTAGGACTCTGTAGATTGAGGTTAATTTTTCCAAACATATAATTTATTTAGTCCACTTTTCATTTATTTTATAACATTATGTTTTAAAAATATAGAGCTGGGCGCCAGTGGGTCACACCTGTAATCCAAGCTACTCAGGAGGCTGAGATCTGAGGATCACAGTTTGAAGTCAGCCTGGGAGACTCTTATCTCCAATAAACTACTCAGAAAAAGACAGAAGTGGCACTGTGGCTCAAGTACTAAAGTACTAGACCTAAGCACAAAGAGGCTCACAACCCCCAGGTTCTAAGTTTAAGCCCCAGGACTGGAAAAAAATAAAAATATATAGAAATGTACAAAGAAAACTGTAATAGCTTGTAATACATCCAACTTAAAAAAATCCTTTGTTGACACTAAAACAGATCATAGATATTTTCATGTGAAAACTTTAAAAAAAAAAAAGAAAAAAGAAAAAGAAAAACCGAGTTCTCATTTTTGTATGTCTCCAATGGAGGGAAAACTTGTTCATATACCAGTTTACTCATGTTACTAAGTCCTACCCAAATGATCACAAACAAGGTCATACCAAAGCTACCAGCACAACCATGTTTATCGCAGCATTATTTACCATAACTAAGATATGGAACCAACCCCGATGTTCCTCAGTAGATGAATGGATCAAGAAAATGTGATATATATGTGTATATATATAAATACACACACACACAAATAAACAAGCAATGGAATTCTATGCCTCTGTCAGAAATAATGACATTGCCTCATTTGTTAGGAAATGGAAAGACTCGGAAAAAATTATATTAAGTGAAGTAAGCCAGGCCCAAAGAAACATAGGTCCCATGGTTTCCCTTGTTTGCAATGACTAGTACATATCTAGGACAAGCAGAGAAGGTCAAAGGCTATGTATATACAATGACATGAGATAATGTTAAGCAAAATGTACCCCAAGACAAGGACACAAGTGGTTTTTTTCTTTCTTGCTAGTGTTTTTAATGTACTTATAATGCACTGTGTGATTCTTTTGTTTCATTTGTATTTTCTTGCCCCACAGTATAACCCTTATTTTCACTGGATTTGATGCCGGTGTTCTGCACCTTGTATATATATTTTTGTAATTTGGGAAGGGGAAGGGATATTGTGGAACTCTTAAATGAGGATGCAGACTGACCCATTGTGACGACAAGATGTACAGGACACTATGTTGAAAATGAACTTTACAGTGTCGGAGTGGGGGTGGAGGTGGGAGGAGTTGGGAGGTGGGGAGGAAAGTGATGGTAGGGGGAAAACAAAGGAGGAGGTAACAATGCTCGCTATGATATGTACTCATTATCTACTCATGTACTGTAACCCCTCTGTACAATATTTTTACAATAAATATATATAATAAAAGTACCTTGAATATTATGGCTGCTTTCACACAACTTTTTTTTTTTTCTCTATTCATCTGTCCCCTCCATCCCTTTTGCTTTTCTAACTCCCACCAACCTGTTTCAGTTTCCTGGTACTCATTTTGCTAAACTATGAGTTAATTGTTCAAAGGAGTTACACCATTGCACAAAGCTCCTTTCCCTTGTTTATACTAGGCTTGAGCCAACCTGTTTATGTATATATGCATATAACTCTGGATATGAAGAAAACATTTAAAACATCTGCGTAATCAGCATGTAAATAACTGAAACAAACTGAGTTGAAAGGTATGATGGGTTCTCAGAAGATACTATTTGCTTTGATTTATAAAACCTTCAAAGTATAGGTAGATTTATCCCAATTATCATCAAAACCTGCAGTAAAAGAACCCTTACAAAATATTCTGATCTCTTCTTTGTGTATAATTCTCTGAAACTATTTGGGAAACTACATAAATTAAATGGAAACATCAAAAATTATTTGGTGAGCTGCTAACAAAAGAGCTACTTTGTAGCTTATCCCTTATAATAATTTATTGTCATGAAGATAAGTTATTTTATGTTAAAAGGATAATTTTCATTCAAATATATAAAACTTATTTTTTTAAATTTCTCTTGTTATTTCATCCCACTAAATAATAACATATAGTTCTTTATTAATTTCCATTGCCTATAGATACTTTGGAAGGAACTAATATTGCATGCTGATGTTTTATCCATTGCTACACAATTTTCACAGAAAAAAATGGAACAAGAGAATGTTCATTGAATAGAGGGCCATAGTTGGGAAACTTTTTTACTTCAGGGCCACAGATTTAGAGCAGCCATTCTCTACTTTTCTCATGATTTTACTATCTCTGTTGTAAATGCCCTAAAAGTCACTTATGTCATTAAACTACTGAAGGTGGCATTGTGAGACTGAATGATAGCTTGAAAGGAAGTTCATCTTATTCTGTATTTCCTCATGAGCTTTACTGACATGAACCATAGGTCCACAGGGCAGTTCAGTGCATCTAATCTGACATATTTCAGAGGATGCTGTAGTTTATCTGCCACTGCCCACTCTTCCTTTCCATCTCTTTGCACAGCTTTCACCTTTCTTATGTCTTATGTTTTCTTCTGTATTTGGCCCAGAAGATTGAACAATGATGTTTATCATCATTAGAATTGTCTGGGACAAGCCAGGCACATGGCTGGCTTTGGCTAAAGACTATACTTTCTTTACTTTTAACTGTAGTTTAACTCATAGAGGAACTTGACCTCAAAGGCTTTCAG